AGATTGAGCGTGCCAGGCTGACAAAGACCTTGGCCAATATCAAGGAGCAAAGTGGCGAGGTTAAAGAGGCAGCTTCCATTCTTCAGGAGCTGCAGGTAAAAGACTCGTGACCGTATACTCTCGGAGAAAGAGAGCTTTGTACAGTTGTCGTGTATACAAACGGGGGCATATGTGTAATTGAAGTGGTTTGAAAGAATTTAACAATTTTGGATATCTTTGTCACAACATTCCTATAGATAAAAAGTACACAAACTAAGTGAAGAGGACGTTTTACGGCCTGCGGTTTGGAAAGTCCTCAGAATATAATTGTTTTTTGTCACAGGTGGAGACCTATGGCTCCATGGAGAAAAAGGAGAAGGTTGAGTTCATCTTGGAGCAGATGAGGCTTTGCATTGCGGTCAAGGATTACGTTCGCACCCAGATCATCAGCAAGAAGATCAACACCAAATTTTTCCAAGAGGAGGGCAATCAGGTAAGAGAAGGAGGCCAGTAAACAACATCCTGCAATGTGTCGTTGGCTTGAAGACCACCTGTGTTGAAACGCAGTTGATGACCTGCGTGTGGGTTCGCTTCTACAGAACTGTCATTTTAGTCGGATCTCAAATCTCGGTTGGTGTACGGAAACACTAATTTTTCTATTTTGTCTGATAAACAACCCAGGAGTCCAAGCTGAAGTACTACAACCTGATGATTCATGTAGATCAGCACGAGGGCTCCTACCTGTCTATCTGCAAACACTACCGGGCCATTTATGACACCCCTTGCATCTTGGAGGACAGCAGCAAGTGGCAACAGGTAAATGGGCTGTCTCTCATGGCCGCAGTATATTATTATTTAGATGTTCGTTTATACATTATTTATACTTTAGTTTTTCCGGTGTTTCCAATGATTTGCTGATATTCCCTCTTTTGATGAATGTATTTCAGGCCCTGAAGAGTGTGGTGCTGTACGTGATCCTTTCCCCTTACGACAACGAGCAGTCCGACCTTGTGCACAGAATCAGCGAGGACAAGAAACTGGAGGAAATTCCTAAATACAAGTAAGTCTTACTTTTTGCTCGTCTGCTGGTCGTCTCAACCATGAAGACAAAACAAAAGGCCCTCGAAATGAATGTGGTGGAGGTCCCAGTTACTTCCTCCTCTATTTACCCAGTTACAGCACTTCATCTACTGTGAATGGGCGGAGAAGTGAGAAGCTAAATCAACTGTACAACGTACCACTCACTTTGTGTCTGCAGATGTTGAAATGTGTCCTGACACGAATGCAAGAGTTCTCACGATGTTCCCCTGTCTTTCCCAGAGAACTTCTGAAACAGTTCACCACTATGGAGCTGATGCGCTGGGCCGCCCTGGTAGAGGACTATGGGAAGGAACTGAGAGAAGGCTCCGCTGACAGCCCCGCCACTGTCGTCTTCTCTAATTCAGAAGAGGGGGAGAACAGGTGGAAGGACCTGAAGAACAGAGTGGTGGAGCATGTAAGTGCCACGGCCAAATGAAGGCTCCTCACAGTCTGATGGGTTCGATGAGAATTTGTCGATGTTTGGAAGCAGGGAAACCTCTAATCAACTAGTTTTTTTTTAACTGCCTTGTAATCACAAACTTGACTAGGACCATGATTAAGAATTAAGTAACATATTAATAGCAATGGCACAACAAATTGGTAGATACCTTCAATGGTGTAAAGCAGTCAAAAAAACTTGCAAAATCCAAACCGCATTTGGAGGTGGTTAGAAATGCAATTTAAATCCAACTAAGTGTGCGTCTCGGTCCGGAAGTCAGTTAAACATCAAGCAAGTTGGTTGACCGGTGTCTGGATGTCCGTTTGTCCCTCAGGAAAGTCTTCGGTTAGCCCTTTTATGTGATGTCAGTCATCTCGTTGGACAGAAAAAAGAGCAGACATGTAGTCTGTTTTTTTTGCATCAGTGAAGGTGTGGAAATGAATTGAATTTTTGTCAGTGGCAGGTCTTAAGCAGAACAATAGACTTAAAATTCAACATAGACTACGGCCGAGATCCATTCAGCATCCATTAAGGAAATGTTTGTTTGCTTAACGTCAAATTATTAGACAAAACTAATACAACTTTATTGTGTTCACTCATTGACTCTTTCCCTGCTCAAATGGTAAGAAGGATAATAAATGTGCGCATTTTTGGAACCCCCTCAAATTCATCAGTGGATTAACATTTCATTTCAATAATTGGAGGAATGTTCACAGAGGGCAGAAGCCTATGCAATCATGATTTTTTTTTTTCTCTAATTGGATTAGTACTGGATGGCTCAATTTCCCTCATGAACACGTTTTTCTTTTTTCAGCTGCATTTGTTAATGTTACCTGAACGTCCCTCTGTTCTAATCTGATGTAATTATCACATTATATTCAGCAGCAGAAATGCTTGTTAATTAGATTCTCCCATGTTTTCCCCAGAACATCAGGATAATGGCCAAATATTACACCAGAATCACAATGAAGAGAATGGCTGGACTCCTTGACCTCTCCATTGACGTAAGCATTGAGTTTGACTAATTAGCTGTCTATAATTGAGCCAACATGACTTTCACTTCACCGTACGTGTATACACATGTCTAGTACAAATGGAATCTAGTGTAAACTGCACTGGTGCAGAGCAGTTATGGATTAGATCATTAAGAAAAGATAAACGTTTTGAGTTCTGCATCACGGAAAGTCTTCACCTGCTGTGTGTCCGCTTAAATGTTTCACCAGGAATCCGAGGAGTTCCTCTCCAGCCTAGTCGTAAACAAGACCATCTATGCCAAGGTGGACAGGCTGGCCGGCATCATCAACTTTCAGAGGCCTAAAGACCCCAACGACCTGCTCAACGACTGGTCGCACAAACTCAACTCCCTCATGTCTCTGGTCACCAAGACCACGCATCTTATTGCCAAGGAGGAGATGATCCACAATCTGCAGTGAAACCATAACAAAGTGCGTTATTTTATGTGTCGGTTCATATTTGTTTTTTTCCCTTCTGTGGGAATGTTTTTTGAATAAACAGTACATAAGCGGTGTGTGAACGCAGCGTTATTATGTTGTATGATTAAAGATGAATCTGCAGCACCTCGATTATATTTACTATCCAGTAGAACCGTGACAATAAACACATGAGCGCTTCCCTTCTGTGCATCCTCGTCAGTGACTGGATCCTAAATGTCCATTTTCATTTAATGAAAGTCTTAGCAAAAGTTACTAGTAACAGCAAGACGCTCCAAGTGTGTCTTGTCTGCAGCTAAAATATTCTGCATACTCAAGTTTTTGTGTTGTAATTTTGGTGGGATGGATTAAAACTGGGTTGCTGTTTGAAATAGACCCCTCTCCTACTATGCCAGTTGATCAGTAAGGAGAACCCATTTTAAACAACCTTGTTCTGACAGCTTGTGGAGGCTCATGAATTTTTTTAACTTTAATTTGGCGCAAACGTGCACATAACGCGTAATGCCTGGGCAGTGCAGCAATCTCTTTATTTAGAACAGATAGACCAGTTACTGCACTAACTTAAACTACAGACAATTCAAAGTAAACAGACCAGTACAATTCTTCAAAGATCCTCACCGCCATCAAAATCTGTCAGCGTTCATCTGTAGCCATTGCAGAAGATGAAGACAGGAACGACTTGAAATACTTTTTCTACTGTGTTGGCACATCTTTGGACAGAAAAGGGCCTTTTGAGTTGTCATTGCAGAGCAAACAGGTGTAATTATAACATAGAATACGCCCTGGGTGGGCCGGGAGGGCTGGGACCCTGGTGGGCGTACGCCGCCTCACCGGGATGGCTGTGACTTCCCAAACAGAACAACACTTTAGAGGCTCTTAACGGGCGGTATAGTGAGCGGTGTCTCTAATTCCAGACTAACCAGGATGCTCATACCATGTCGCTCCTGTCTCCCCACATTTTTTATATGTTGATCATTTTTACACTGACTTATCAAATCAAAAGCAAAACTGACGTAAAAAAAAAAGTTTGGGCAAAAATACTTGTGACATCTTTTGATTATTCAGTTTATTTGTGGCAGACATTTTGAATATTCAACTTTCCGAACACGTGACTTCATACAAGACACAACAAAAATAAAAACAAGTGTAAGTTAAAATGGTACCTTCTCACTGACAGGTTGAAAACAAGTCTACAATGGATTTTAATGTGATGAAGATTGAGTATAAAACACAATGTAAGAGCTCTTTAATTATAGCAGACTGATAAATATGTTCAAACTGTCCTTGCTTTTTCTAAAGCAAACAGCCACACCTTCTAGTATTCATGAATATTTCCTAGATGTCTCTGTATAATTATTATGCCGCTTGCCATAATATTTATTGTTTGGAACATTTATAATTCCTCACGTGGTTTGAGCCTGCGTACATTTTCCTTTCATGCATCATAATCATCATGTTTATTGAGTTCTTCTTTACTCCAAAGTATTGTCTTACTATTGAGTATTAGTGAGGAATCTTGTGATACCTTTGAATGGCTTTGATCATTCGTATGCCAGCCTCAGTTCCAAAAACTCTCCATTTGTGCAAAAACACAAACTTATACCGCCGGTGGCATCCCATGTGGAGTTTAATACGCCTGACGATGACTGAGTGGATGGAAATACCCGAAAAGCAAAGATTGTCAGCGGCATCATTCGTTACTCTTGTTTAGCACGTTTTAAATCAGAAAAAAAAACTTGCTTTGGCCCCAAGCTGTGTTCCATACAAAGAGTGTTCAGAGCCAAATGTCTCAGGTTTCTGTTTTTCATGTTGTTATACAAATATACAAGTTATTCAACTAAGTGTTTTTTTCCTGTTGTTATTCTCGTTATGGGAAATTTAAAAAGGCCACATTTCGATTTGATTTTAATGAACAGCCACCTCAAGTTGTATTTCTGAAAGGAATTCTATTAGAAACATTTTTAACACGAACACTTTTCGACAAGGAAAATCCCTGCCATCAGAGGCCACACACACGCGCGCACACACACACACACACACACACACACACACACGCGCGCGCGCACCAACAACACAGTCCTCTCAACCTTCAGATCAGTACATCCCACTATGCTTTGCGATGGTCTGACAAGTGGATCCAAGATGGCGTAGAAAGTAAAGCTAGGTAAGTGTTGACTTCCCATTTTCAGCCCTTTCGGTTGTCCTTTTTGTCGCAAAGCCCCCGACATATCCCCCCACCACAAATCATTATGATAACGACGAATGCTTTGAGTTCACGCAAGGATTGCAACATGATGTCATATCATTTATATTCGCCTTAACACCGTGGCGAAATTACAGGCCCCAACCCGTTTTGTTTCGGCGAAGCTAGCACGCTAGCTAGCTCACTAGCATTGACAAACCAGGCAGCTATTCTTGTTATGAGCTCGCCCGCTTGGTGCCGAGTAAGGCCGTGTTTTGGCTAGCAAGCTAACTGTTAGCTACGCTTTCTGTTTACTGGCTAGGCTGTTTGCCCCCCCACGGGGCAAACGCGGACTGCAAGTTAACCAACCTTCGGGTGGGGGGGGGGACATTTTCCGGGGCTTTGTAAAGCTGCCGTCATCGCTCGGACTTGCAGCAGTCACGTTAAGTTCAGCAGACAAATCGCTAACGCCACAACTCTCTCGGTACCCCCCGAAAGACGAAACGGGTCGTTGTCCACCTTTGCGATTATTGGTGCGATCGCCCTCGATATTTAAATGGCCGATCGGACTCGGGGCAACGTGCAAGTTTCACAGCCGCCTTTCGCTGCACATTCGCTGCTAACGGTACAGTCAAACCAGCGTTGTGTCACGATTAAAGCAATCGATGCTCTTTTACAACTACCCTCGGCTGTACAATCTGCTTTGCCCTCCACGGTGTCTCGGGCGCAGCGTTTGGCCTCTGTAGTTGAATCCCACGACCGGACACACAAACCGCAGGCAGGTGACCAGCTACTGTATCCCGCCAAACTATGTGTTGTCGCCCCACACGGTGCGGCTGGCTTGCGAGCACTAACATGAAGTAAAAGCCACTTTGACCGTTCAAACTCGCCGTGTTTTAAACCAAGCATGGGTTTTAAAATAACCGCCGATAGTTGGAGAAGCTACTGTGTTAAGATCAGTCACATGTTTGGTTTCATCTTTGACCCTGTTTTCCATCCAAGCATCGGATCTAGTGTTCTGTCCCGAGCAGCATTCAACCCTCACTCTGCAGGCCGCACACTGTGCACTAAATGTGCCAACTAGATTCTAATGATGGTGTTGTAAAATATGGGCATTAGAGTACCAATGCCATACGGTGACTGAATCATTACCTCTGTGTGGAGTATTTGTTTGATCAAGTATTATCTATACATTTCCCTGAATGTATTTGTGCTTGTCTTCCAGGGTTTGGACCAGTGGCTTTTGTTTAACAGGCTCAAGAAAAGCCGGGTTTGTTATTACAGTGTGGGTGTCACATTGGGCCAGTTGCTGTAAATGTGCATAGTATACAAGCGTAGATTATCATACAGACGTTTCCTAATATATGCCGTGTGAATCTAGCATTTTTTTTAGAGGAAGTGAAGTTGACAACAGTTCACTTTTCTTCTAAAGTGTTGTGACATACATACGTGAGACACCAGAGGAGATGGAGTTGGGTGTGCTGTCTTCAGCATCTTCATTTTAGGAGGAAAAATATAGCACATTCCAAATGTTATGTTTACTTTGTTATCCTATTTCCCTTTTGGATACTATGATGAATGCATAGTTAAAGTTGATGCATAAACATTAACTCGGGCTTGGCTAGAGCATAGCTGTCCGTCGCGGGGAATTCGAAGAGCATCTAAAAAAAAAAAGTTAACGCAAGCTCAATATTCTCTTTATTGCAAAAAATAAGCCCGACTCCGTTTTCCCTCCTCTCCTACAGCACGTTGAAGCATAGGAAATGTCCTTTTACGTATTCTTTTTTGAAAAGCCATGTCTCTGGGATTTATTATCTGTTATTCGGTGTTTTATTTATCCTGCTAATGCAGCTTTAACATATCGCTCCAGTAGCGGTCTCGCTTTTAAAGGGCAGCTGCCAGAAATATACCCCGAACTACTGGGCCACAGGCCACAAATTCACTGCAATAGCAGAATTTTAGACTGTGGTGAATAGCAGGATGGAAATTCAGCATCAGGTAATTGTTGTGGAATTTTGATTTGCACCGAAAAGCTTGGTTTGCCTGCCATCTTGGCAAATAATAACTATAATGGGGCTTTCAAAGCCGCCCCTTTGTTATGGTGGGTGTGTATGTGCGTCCCTGAAATAAGCTGCAATGCCAATGGTGAAACCAGGTGTAAATAGGACTAAAATGCACTGTTGTATGAAGGTTGAGCATTTGTTGCCCCTGGTGGTCCCCAGCAGGTCACGGTGTACCAACCCTATCCAGATCTGTGGCGGAGGGCATGCTGCTTGTAATCTCACCGTGAGGTTTAGATTCTTTAATTCTCTACATCAAAATAATATAGTCGGACCCACAGAGACTCAGGATGGCCTTTGTTATGGTATGTGGCTTTAATAATTGTCTTCGATCAGCAGTAGGTTAACCCATTTTCAAACGCAGTATTTAATTTATTTGGTTTCAGACCAAACCACCGGCCTGGGCCTAAGCAAGTTTTGGGGGAACAAATGCTGCTCAGGCTCGGTCAGCCTTCTTCTAACAAAGATTTCATTTAAGCTACACAGTGATTGGAAGGGGAAGTTTTTATGGGTCGAATACGGCTTTTTGGGGTATTTCATATACTTGTCATAACTATACATTTCTCTACTGTGGGACTGGCGAAGGATTATCTTATTGTACACTTACATGGGATTTGATTGCTGTAATGTTACTGTTAATGAGTATCGTTCGGCCCTTGTTCACAGCCAGAGACAAGCAAATGTGTATCTCCTTGGAGTAGTTGTAGCCTAATCTGCAGGAAAGTAGCCAGATAGAGCAAAGACAGGCGTCTGCATTATTTGTTTTAATGACCAATTATTTGTGGCCACATTTGACTATTATCCTCATGTTGTCTAATAAATACCACTGTAGACATTTAAACATAAAAACAAGGACCAAAACATCACACTAATTCCCTCAACAAATCAGCCCATTGAAACATTCAATTTGATTTAGTAACAGAAAAAACAGCTCTGTGGAAAACAAATTGATGATACTCGCTTATATTATATATTTTTATATATATTATATATATATTTTTCGGGAATCCACATTTTTACAGGATTTTCCCTAATCTAATTCACTCGGTGACACACTTGTATTGACCTGTTTGCGTAAACATTTTGGTGCGTTTAACTAAACTAGTGTATGGGAGATGAGCAGGATTCATTCTGTAATCCATAGAAGTAACTGCTATGAAGCGTCACAACACTCTCCTCCTGCATACTCTCCAGCACGCTGTGCTGTCTAGTGCCAATAAAGGCTTCACAGTCTGTTATAAGGCCCCATAGTCTTAAGCAGTCAGATGACGCCAGACGGATGACTCCACTATTTTTGGCTTTAGAGCTTGAGATGATAAAAGTATGTCCCGCATAGGCTAATGCTTTAGGCCTCCCATGTGACCATTGTGCTCTCGATTTGTTGCATATTTGAATTTACTCGTGTGTGTGTGTGTGTGTGTGTGTGTGTGTCCTAGAGTAAAACATATACATACCAAATAGAGGTTGGGTTTACCAATGTTCTCTTTGGATTGCAAAGAGAATTATCAAGAAAATGAATAGAATTGTGCCTCTAGCGGCGTGGTGAAGTCTGAGGACGTTTTTGGTATGTTGCCCCCCCCCGACCTCCCAGCAGCAAGCACAGGTAGACAGGAGTGAAACAACGCGCGAGATGGCCCCCGGCCTTTGCAAACAGATCAGCTAGAGCAGGTCGCTGCGCCCACTGGAAAAACCCGCTGAACGAGGGCCAGCCATCACTGGGGAGAGGATTCTCACCCAGATTGCGCTCAAAGCAACGGTTTGGTCCCCAAAAGTGGAGCCGAATAATCTCTGTCACGTTTAACGTTCGATTAAAAGTGTAACTATAACCATGAGACCAGCAGGGAGGAAAATCCCTTTTCATGTAAAGATTTACTGATCTTACTACACAAATTAGCTTCTTGTATGACATTAAAACATTTGGATACCAAATTTAAACTTAATATATGTACAGTACCGGTCAAAAGTTTGGACACATTTTCTTACTTAATTCAATGAGAAAGTCCATCCAAACTTTTGTATGTATGAATGTGTGTGTGTGTGTGTATCACATTTCACTCAATGCTGAGGAACAACTTAGCTACTATACGTTAATTTACTGTAAATTACATCTTAAAAGCATTTCTGGAAGGTTTTGAGTTTTCTTGTTACACAAGGTGAGAAATCATCAGACTTATCGTTCTACAGTAGCCAGAGTTCAACAAAAATATGCAATGAGGTTCAAGACATTTCAGTCACATGCAGAAACGATGGTTAACTTTGATTTGGAAAATGAAGCAAATAACACATAGTTTCATTTTCTTACATTGACCTGATATGTTTTCAAACAGTCAGAATGTTCTGACCTATTTGCATGTCTCCTGTTTGACTAGAACCCAACATACAGCCAGTGAGCGCGCTGAAGGTAACAAGGAACAAACTGTCTTGCTCGCTGACGTGTGCAATGCTCTGCAGAGAAAGGAAAGGCTCGAGGGAAGAGAAAAGGCGTAAATGTCCCAGAGTTTGATTGAAATAATTCATTTATTATAATAAATAATAATGTTGCCATTTATTTCATATCCTGTGGTGAGAAGACCACGTGGTTGTTGTTATTTATTTTCTTTGGTTCAGAGTCGTACAGTTTTATGTAGCCTCCTTTGTGAGAAACGTGCCAGTCATGAACTATTTTGGAGGATTTTTTTGGTCGCTCTTCATTTTCAATATAGGTGATAATAATAACGGTTAGAAGGTACGCAGCACCTGCAAAATGTTGCTGAACCGGGACTATAATTACAGATTATTGCACATTGCACATTACGCAATTTTTTTTTTAATACAGCCAAATAAGCAGTGCCGAAGTGTGGATATGCATTTTGTTTTTCATTTAAATGGTTTATAATCAGGTGCTCGGCTGAAAAGCCGCTTCTTTTGACATGGCACTACATGGCAAATTGTGTTACTTTTGTAGTGTGGCAGTGGCTGAATGATAAACATGTAGATTCCTCTTCATCTTATTCATATTGCCCAACCCGTGTCCTCTTTTTCTGACTAGACGTTTTGTCCCTGAGTCATGGCGGACAGGAGAGCGGAGAAGTCATGTGAAGAAGCCAGCAGATCGTTAGCCAGGCGGGAGTACGAGGCGGCAGTCAGCCACAGCACGGATGCCCTGGTGGTCCTTGCGCCGCCGGCCCCACCCTCCGGCGCCCCCGTCCCGCCGAGCTCCCCGTCCCTCGTTGCTGCTGCCGGACCCCTTCGCAGCCGAGCCCTGCTCTATCGAATTTCTGCCTTCTTGCAGCTGGTGAGGACTGTGGAGTGATGCTGCCGTAGCGTTCAACACGTGACTTCTTGTTGTCCCTCTTTTCTCCCCTTTTGCTCTGTTTTGATCTAACAACAAAAACTGTGAGCCGTCTTATCACCAAATACAATATTATTTTTTCCTATTCCAAAGTATAGTTATTTCAACAAAATGACGTCGGCAGATTATTGTGCTTTAAATTTACTCTTGCGTCTGATCATTTGGTAATCCAACATGCAGAGAATGTTTTAAATTCATGGTACTGTTCTATTATCTTCTCATTGCACTAATATTGGACCTGTTACTTAAGCCCAGAGATTATGGAAACTACTTTAGTATTTGTTAGTATGAGGCAATTCGGCCATTTTCGGAGCTTAGGTGAAGCTTTGACCCGTGAACACAAAGTATTCCCTTTTCTCATAGTTAATTTTTTTTTTCTCTCCCGTGCCAACAGAAAAACTATGACGAAGCAGATGAAGACTGCAAACATGGTGAGTAGAACGCCCAAGGAATCATGCTAAATAATGATCACAATGTTGTAGAAGGCAGACTTATTGCATATTTTAATTTAAAAAGAAACCCTCCTCAATGTATTGATTTGAATTCCATCCCTCCCCACCTGTTCTGTGTGTTCTTCATCCGGTCCTAGTCCTTGCGGAGGAGATTGCCAGAGGTGACGGGTCGCTTAAGGCCAGCTTGCGCTTCATGCTGTTGGATGGCAGCCTGCAGGAGGTGGCCATCATCCTCTCTAAAGCCCTGTATGGGGAGCCAATGGTATAATCAATGGACACTCTGTACATTGTATACATTACATGTGTTTGGAACGCCAACTAAGAGTATTCTGGTGGCGTGAGCACCTGGTGCGAGTGCCATGTGCGCACATTTTTTTAATTACATTTTTTTATTCCAGACTTTTTTCGGGTTGTTTCATAATGGGAAAATATAATAAATTATAATAAAGGGAAAAGCTAATGCCAAATTTGACACATGATTTAAATCTGACTTGTGATCTGAGATGCTTCAGTAATACCACATATAGTGTGCTTGATGATTGTGGATTTTCAGTGTATTTTTTTTGTACAAGTAAATTACTATTGTTGAGAAGTTCCAATGCGATGTTGGAGTGACTATCAGGTCTACTCCCACAAAGGGCAACATGAAGGCGAGGTGTAGTGCCCTCCCTGTAGCAGTGTCACGTGCATGTAGCAGACAGGCACAGGGTCAACTCTTGCATGTGTCCACGTTTTCTCCTGTCTGACCTCGCCCTTCCTTAAACGTGCATTTTGCTGCCACGGTGCCGCCCAGCTTTTTGCGACCACTTTGTGCCCAATACAGCACACGCGCACAAGCAGGTATTCAAAGGTTGAGCCTGTCCCCAAGGTCATCCAGCATTTTATGCAAGTGGGGACAATCCGTGTTTGCTAGGCAGATCTCTATCTCTCTCCGTCTCTCCCAGGCAAACATTATTCTGACAGTGCTTGGGCAGATTAACTTTTCTTTTCTTTCCGTTGGTACCTGTAAATTACAAATAAGCTCCATTGGAGACATACATCACATATAAGACAGCCAGGCTGTCAGTTGTGTTTTTTCACATGCCTACCCATATTTGATTTGCTCCTTCAGAATAGTTACAACAAAATGTGTTCCAAAGCCCTGGTCTAGTCAGAAATAGAAAATTCCTTATTGTCAACACCTCTGGGACCCTGAAGAGTCACAATGTTTAGCTAGATTCAGCTGTCGGAGCCAGTTGGTGGAAGGAGATCCACCCCGAGTGACAAATTTGAACGCAAGATTCGAGCTAAAATCGCTGTGTCTAAATAATTCATGAGGTTTGTTGTCACTTGCGTCTCTGCGGCCTTGATTGATAGCAGTTACAAACCATTTTCATATGACATTTCTCGCTGCTTATAGATCTAGAAAGGACAAAGTGATGTGTACTCAAAGCCCTGATTGCCGAACTTTGTAATGAAGATCTTGTCCTTCCTCCCCTCACAGAATGGCATTGTCGCAAAAGACCTCACCAGATTAAAAATGCTTTTCTCAGAGATTGAGGTAAGTGCCTTTGGCTGCAGGGCTGTAAACCTTACTGCTCTTTTGCGTTCATGTCTTTTGATGGTTTTACAAGTGTTTGGCTAAAGCTCGCAAGAGAGTTGTCATAAATATAGCTTTTCTCTCCCTAACTTAAAATCTTAAAAGCTTCTACGCCTGGCTAGTCTCGAGTTATTTCTCAATTCTTCGTAATAAGTCAATTGGTTGAATAGCTGTGTTAGTCTTTCTCATAATTGTGGTCTTTCCCCACTTCCTCGCCCATCTTTCCCTCCTGTCAGTTGATAAAAAGGGAGATGGCGCCTGAATACACAGAAGAACAGGAGGAAGGTGAGCATCTCACTTTAACCGCTTCCTTAGTTGGGGAAAAATGTATGTACACATACAGAATGACAATGTGCCTGGTCCAAAAAGGTCTATATATTGATGTATAGTAGATATAATTGTTGTTTAGGAAGCCATCCATCAGTTGGCAGCTGGACAGCACTTTTTAAAAGGACTTGTCAGAGCTCATTTTATGACGTTTTTTTGGCTTAGTGTCACATTGACCACATGGCTGTGTCTACTTCCAGAGTTCCAAGATGGCTGGCAATTCCGGCCTCCCCCCCGAGGCGTCACCAGCAGTGAGGAGTACACCCTCTGTAAAAGGTTGGGCAAATCTTGTGCACACATCCCTAATCTGTGTGTGAAGACACGCATGTATGTTGGGCCATAGTCTTAGTCTTGTTGGAACCTTTGTCTGACTGAGCTCCAGTAAACATACCAGAGCAGCACTGCTAGTTTCATTTACTGCTGCATGGCAAGACACTTGTATTGAGTGGTGTAACGGATCAATATTGGTTATTTCGGTCTGCTGCTATGTCAGGCTTGATTTTTCCTTTTTTCAAATGCAATAATTTTTTCAAATGCTATTAATCTCCTTGGTTTGGCTAAAAAGTAAGAGTTTTAAAACATATTGTTTGTAATTGTACTGTTCTTAAAAGCTTTTTGGCCAATGAGAAACCCAACTTTTATTAAATTAAACACATAAAAAAATGAGGCAAAATATACACTCAGATTGTGACAGTTCTAACTACCAAATGTTTTTAGTGATTTCGTGACAGCAACCGATTGGTCAACGGTCACAGTTTTATTTTGTTGATTAATTGCTTAACGCTGGTAGCAGTTGAGCTCACCGGTTGTCTGCGCTGTAGGTACTTGGAGCAAGGTCTGTGTCGGTACGGGGCCCAGTGTACGTCGGCCCATTCTCAGGAGGAGCTGATGGAGTGGCAGAAGCGATACGCGTCACGCCTCATCCGCCTCAAACAGCAGCAGGAGAGCAAACACTTCACCGAGAGCTACATGGAGACCCTGATAGAGAAGTGGATGAACTCCCTCTCCCCAGAGAAAGTGGTAAGCGCATGCAACTTTAAAATAGCACACTTATAGGTGAGGGATAAATTCCCAGAAAGGCCACCCAACCACAAAGGGGTGTCTGGTGGTGTGTTGGGATTTAATCAAAAGCCTCTGCAAACTCTGAGCACACCATCACCTTGTGAATCAAGGAGATGCAGCTCCACTTCCAACCACTTTGTTCCACCCAGCAAATAGACAAAGCCTTCTGTATTTACACAAACATTGACTACCCAGACTGTGTTGTGGTTTTACTTTTCTAGTAAGACTGTTCATGCACTGTGCATATTGTCATTTAATAACTTATGGTTATTGACACAAAAAATTCTCACTATTCTTACTATGTTTTCAGGGTAAAATACTTGCCGCGAACAAATGACCAGACAATTTATCAGGCATACATTATGCGATACAAATGAACGTTTCTTAAGAAATCTGAGGCTGTGATACATTCTAACCATGTGTTTTACATTTTCCAGCTAAGTGACTATTTAGAAGGAGTGAATGTAGAAACGAGCTCCAGCCTCTCTGTGACCGTCACCACCAAAAAATCTGCACACTCTTGGACCTTCTCCTTCTTGTGCAGGGTAGGATGGAATGTTTATTACCAACCATGTACAAACCTGCTATTTTTCTTGACCAGAACAGTTATTGGCTGTAAAGTAAATTTGCTGCAGGGCACACCTGCTGGTGTTGGTCCTAATCCCCCCGTGTGAGTGTTCTGACCGAAACACTCTCTCTCTCTCTCTCTCTCTCTCTCTCTCTCTCTCTCTTTGACCAGCCGCCTAGAAAGCTGTTCCGCATCGCCCTGCTCTATGATGCGCACCGACCCCACTTCTTCATCACAGGTGTGTCATCCGGGGAGCGGCTGCAAGCTCTCCCCAACGGGTGCCAAGAGTGGACTCCCGGAGAGGAGGTCGCAGGTACGTCCTTTTTAGTTATATTATGTTCTACTCGCATGCAAGTAAGGCAATTTGACCTGTGTGGTTCCTTACATCTTCATTGTTGTTTAAGTTAAATCTCTATTCATTCACACCAAAACTTTCTGTTCCGACAATGGCAGCAGACAACGGCCTTGACCACTGTGTGTACAACGTAGCGGTGGGCTTCAGCACGGAAATATTTGGGACCTTCCGACAGACCGTTGTTTTTGACTTTGGCTCGGAGCCTGTGCTGATGAAGCGGATCATGGTGGATGCGGCCTCTATTGAAGGTATGCTAGAAGCTCATGTAGAGGACCGTGGTCAATCCAATGCAGTTACGTGAATGGGCGCCACAGCTTTAACTGTAAAAATTAAATTGGCAAAGAAGAGTGTGTTTCTACGTTTGGTTAAATGAGCATGTGCTGTGGTAAACGCTGTCAACCGCCCTCTTGCTCTTTCTGAGATAATAACTTGTAGTTGTCTGGATGCCCAGTTAATAATCCTTTGTTCCTAGACTTGGAGCACCTGATGGCAGCCAGGCAGCAGCTCTTGATCACCGCAAAGCGCTGGGACCCGTCCTGCAAGACCATCGTGGAATTCTGTCCAAATGAAACAATGGCCGACCTGGAGCGCAGCCTCCTTTCTCGCTATCAGATCCCTCTGTCGGCAGATCAGCTGTTCACTCAGTCAGTCCTGGACAAGACCCTGACCAAAGACAACTACCAGGCCCGGCTACATGACCTGCTCTACATAGAAGAGATTGCTCAATACAAGGAAGTTAGCAAGTGAGTAAACGTGTTCCCTTGGTTTCTTCTTACTGGGGTTGTATAATGGATTTTCCATAACTGTACGTAATAAGGCTTGAATAATCGGGCTTTACATTTGAGGCTGAAAACATCAACAATATAGAAGCAAAATGGGAACACGAAATTAAGTAGTGTACCGGTAAGTCACAGTTCATGGTCAATATCATTATTATAATACATTAATGATTTAGAAATTGACAAAACAGTTGAACAATTCAAATATCGGTCTAACTGCTGCATAGGATTTAAATAATTCAAGGTGAGACATCTGCAGGCTGTTTGCAATGTGTCAAGTTTTAGATGCAGTCCAAATGGCTGGATGTCACTTTGAACTCAGTTGCTGTGACTTGAGTGTTTTAGGGATATTTGGTAAACACATCAATACAAAACAAAGACACACATGAAGCATAAAAGTGATATTAAAATAAAGGGCACAGAATAAAATAAAAAAATAATTACCTTTCTGAAGTGACAGAATGCCGAAACAATCACCTTTCAGTGGTATACAGCTTGAAAAAAAAAAAAACAAGTTCTGATTACAAGCTTTTCCAGGAGCTTTCAAAATTGCAATGCAATTGTGCATACAATTATCATCTTGACTAGTCAGAACCGTCTACATAATGGTCCCCTTGTCTTGTCAGAAATGTGGCTACAATTAATAAACCACTATAGACCTCGCCGAGGCGGAGGGGTATGAATCTTTTGTGTGTTAAGCTTATAATGAACCACCACAAGGTGTCAGACTTGACCTTCATTCTCTGTGTGTGTGTGTGTGTGTGTGTGTGTGTGTGTGTGTGTGTGTGTGTGTGTGTGTGTGTGTGTGTGTGTGTATGTGTGTGTGTATGTGTGTGTGTGTGTGTGTCTGTGTGTGTGTGTGTGTCACACACAGCTTGATTCACGGTCTCAGAGCCATTTAATAACGTATCTAAGGGGACTCCTCTGAGATTGGTGAAGTAACAGTGTTGTCTTCCTCTACAATGAATACTTCTTGGGATTCATTACCGGCTGCTCCGCTGTTATAACTTAATGATATGCTAATTACAGCTAGAAACGGTATATGCTTAGTTCCACTTTCAGAGACACAAGTACAGTGCTGCAACTTCCCCAGCTTTCATCTTTGCTCTTAATTAGGTCTTGTCTCTTGATCCACATTGTCTTTTCACTTGGTATGGATATCGCTACAGTATAAAATACGTCCCATTGCCAATGTTCGTATGAATAATCTCTGCCTATTAAACAGCCAATGTCCTGGCAGGTTCCGAATTCCTTTTGTGTGGATTGTGTGACATTTAAACATCTCCATCACCACCTCTCTCTGAATAATCTCCCATTATATTTATATTGTCAGATCTTGTATCAGTAAGTCAACAGGCATCACCTCAGTGTCTGAAATAAACCAGTATTTCTTTCACTCTTTAACTCTTTCTTTCATCAGAGTTAGCACCAATGTTGCTTCCTGTTTCATCACCGGTCTTTATAACAACCGGTTTTCGGTACCAAACTCTAGTCGTAATGATTAGTCCGTAACGTATGAAAAAACATTATCGTGACTCATATTTTACATTAATAAGCTATAGGGCTGAAAGAGCGTAACCAAATGTCCATGTTTTTCCTCCCAGGTTTAACATCAAAGTGAATCTCCAGCTCGTCACCAGCTTCATGCTGACAGGCATCTCTGTCGGGGCCAAGTATGCCCAGAACGGACAGCTCTTTGCACGCTTCAAACTCACTGAAACACTGTCTGAGGTGACTGGACTGCTTGGATTTTATAATGCCGTTGCACTCTTTAGTAGTCTAACTACTCATTAGTGGCACGTGCAGCACAAATGTGTCGGCTTGCCATCTCTTTACTTTTTCCTTTCCTTTTTTCTTTTTAAACTTCAGGACACATTGGCTGGACGGCTCGTGATGACCAAGGTGAATTCAGTCCTAGTGCTGCCATTTGGCCGTGATGGGATCAGCAATCATCCGCCTCCTGGGGTCAAGGAGCGTGTTTACGAGGCTGTGATCGAGGAGAAGACCAAGGACTACATCTTCCTGAGGATCTGCAAGAACTGCTGTGATGAGCTCGGGCTGCTGCCCGACAGGGAACTACAGGTATGACTCACACCAAGGAGACACCTCTGTTCTTTTGAGGTGTCCTCACCAAATAATAAATACCAGCGGTTGATTGACAGTAGTGGAAAGGGGCACGTAAATAGTCTCAACGCTTGTGGTCTCACAAAAACATTACATTCCTAACATTCCTGCGTTGGATCATTTTCCCAGGAATAGCTTTTGTATTCCGGTGCTTCTTTTGTTTTGAGAAGTATCCCTTTATTGGATGACTCCACGCTTGGTATTTATCGCTGCTTCTGCCTGAACATCTGCAGACAAAGCAGGCTGCCACGTTAGCTCTCATCAACTCAACATTAACAACTCGCATCCTGTTGCTGAGATCATAGTCTCATTCTCCTGGCTATACGCCACCTGCTGACACCATACAATTTAATTTCTCTATATCAGGGGTCGGGAACCTTTTTGACTAAGAGAGCCATGAAAGCAAAAAATGTGGAAATTTATTTCAGTGAGAGCCATATAATATATTTTAAAAGTGAATTCAACTAAATGTCAGTATAATAAGCCTCTGAATTTATTCTTTTAAATAATGTTGCTATAACACTCACCATTAATGCGACTTCTGGTGCTGCATGGATTTGCTGATGTCTTTGTAGTCGGGTTGGTACTTGGTGAGGTTAAGCTTCATGCAAGCGTTGAGGCTTTCATCCGTTAAACGTGATCGTAGGTTGGACTTGATGTTTTTAAGATGTGAGAATGACTGCTCACATGCATACGTAGATCCAAACATGGTCAATACAGCAATACTCACACGCTGCAGTGTGTGGTATGTGACAGGATGCGCGTTCCAAGTGTTCGAATTTTGGCGAATGAATATTGCGGCATCGCCCGCAACAAAACAGTGTGAGGTGCCAACATGCCAAGCTGAGTCGGTAGGGTTCTTTTTAGTGAAAACAGTCTAAGAAAGACCTAAAAACTTTCAACTGCGTTGGGAAACTTTTTCTTCGGTGCTGCTGGGGTTTGTAATTAACCTTCATGACAACGCGTGATCCAAAGCTCATGTGCATAATAATCATGCAGCGTCAGGCTCAACTCGGGTCGGAACAGACATATGCGGCCCGAGCCTCATTCTACATGGCAGTGGTTTTGAGATTATTTTTCCTATTGGTCCTAACCCTTCGTCGAAGGGTTAGCTTTGAGCTAATGACCGAACAGACGCAGTCTCAGACTGATTCAAAAGGGGGCGTTTACCTGTTTTACCCAGCAACGGAAAACGTAGGCCAGTATCATCCAATTAAAATAATGGACAATTGCTCCTGCAGCCCTGAACAGGACATGCGCAGTGAAAAATCGATGGATGGATTAAAACAAGTGAGAATATTTGGTTTTATCTGCGAGCCATATGCAATCATCAAAAGAGCCACATCTGGCTCGCGAGCCATAGGTTCCCGATCCCTGCTCTATATCCTCTTTGGGTTCTTATATTTCACACAGCCTCGATTTCTCATCCTCTTCTTGCAATCACATATTTTTCGGCTCTTGTTTGCTTTCTCCCCCTCTGTTTCTTAATGTATTTATACATTCTTTTTTAGTTTGTTATTTTCACTCACCTTTACCAAAAAAACGCCATGTATGTGTCCTACTGGCAAGAACCTTGTTGCCGTAATGCTGAAGAAACGCCACCATGCTTCACTTTGTGGATGACACTAGCCAAAGGAAGACAGCGCCTAGTTTTTTACAAATGCGGAAATCCCCCCCCAAAACTCTTATTTTTGTAGATTCTCTTTGATTTACATGAGACTGACAGATGGACCCATGTATGTCTCTTTAATGGGTGTGGACTTCAAGCTTGTACATATTCCTACTTTAACATTGCAGATGTAATGCATTTATTGTGTTTTATTGGAAGGACACGTCTCCTGAGCTCAAGGTCAACCAAAAAGAAATGATCTCCATCTTATCCAAAACGAAATGAAACCCTAACCTTGTTTTTGTCTAGGCTTTTATATTTGATTGAATTCCATTGTATTGCTTATTACGGTATCCTTGGCCTCTGGGTGGATATCAAATCTATAGATGAACCAGTGTTGGACTGCTTAGTAAGCTCTCGGTATTGTTCCTGTGGCAGGTGGAGCTCCAGTTCCAGCTGAACAGACTGCCGCTCTGTGAGATGCATTACGCTCTGGATCGCATCAAAGATAATGGAATCCTTTTCCCTGACATTGGACTGGTCCCCACCATCCCCTGGAGCCCCAACAGGTGTGTATTCCACTATGCCCGAATTCTCTATCACACTCACTCACACAGGCACACATACATGTTCGTTACTCGTTTAGAGGAAAGATTTACGTTGAAGGAAACCATCAACTTTATTATTCAGATAATGGTTTTCATCTCCTGTGTCTCCAAGAGTCATACCACTCCATTCCTCCAAAACATGGAAGGATAAATAAGAGTCCATTTTAAAAGGAAATTACCCTCGCTGCAGATGGTTTGATGTTGCTGTATGGAAGAGGAATCCTTTCATGTTGCAAATGAGCAGTGTGGACTAAAGCTACATTTAAATTTTCCATTCTATTAAACAGGAGGGAACATACACACCAATTAATGCATAGGAAATGGTTATTATAGAGAAATTCATAGCATGACAACAACCCTGACATGACAAAAGGGACACATGACAATTTAAGAGTTGACAGGATATCCCTCGCCTTGCTAACTCTGCAGTTATTCTGAAATGCTGGCAGCTCTTTCTGAAGAGAGGCCGTAACATTCATCAAGAACAGCCAAATGAAATCCTTTGTGATTTTCAAGGCTGCAGCTTATCTGGCCTCCAAAATATGATTAATAATGGGGGTTGTTGTGTGTTACAACAGCGATGTGCATAAAGAGAAAGAAGGAAGGAAAGAGACCCTGTGCGGGTTTTGACCCTGAAGCAGAGTATTTTAATATTGATAAACACCTTTGCACTCTAATCAGAAAGTGAGATAGTGAATAAGATAATCCTGGTTGTGTGGTTTAAGGTTGCATCTTAATAGTATTAAACATTAATATGTTAATTCTCTTCTTGTGCTGTTATTAAGAATTGTACTTCTTTGCATTAAAACTTGTTGAAAATTTGGACAAATAGCCATTTAAAGTCTCACCCACTGCCTTTCATTGAGCATTTGAGTTCTTGGATTTATTATAGCATTTCCTTGCTAAACAGATGTAAATGCACCTTGAGTCTTGAGAAGGATGATTTAGATATCTCACCCTGTACTACATTTGTGGAGAAAGTATAGTTAGCTTAAAAGAGTTTAGCTTTTTTGTCACTCAACCTCTGAATCTCATCCATCCACCTCTGTTATAAACACACTCTTACTTAAACATTGATATATCTCTTGTCCTGCCAACTATTTCTCAGTTGGAGTCCAATCAATTGCGTTTGATGGATTCATAACTGCAGAGGATGCACACTTTTCATATTGAGGACAGTGCTGCTAGGATACACACACATGTACACATGCACGCGTGCCCTACATGCATGACACTCTAGCACTGGTGAGTATGTGCTTTAACAACCCAGTCTCACAGTAAAACGTGTAATAGCTACGTTGTTGGACCAACGTGGTATTCTCACGCTTTCTCCCCAAAATCGTGACAATACTACATTTTATTTCGGCCCATTCGTTTACATTGCCTTAACTACGTCACTAGAAACTAATAAACGGAAGGTCTTCTACATTCTCTGATAGAAGATTATGAAAATATAACGCATATACTTCTCGCTAGAAATGCTATTGAAATGCATACAAATGCTGAGGCTTTCTTAAAATATTGTGTTTTTCAGATAATAGACAGTCCGCCATTTTCTTTTCTTTTTTTAGCTGAGAGAAAGTTGATAGTCACGTGACGTAGTTGCAAATAAAACGTTGTATTGTCACTCTTTCTCCCCAAAAAGCGTGACAATACCACGTTGGTCCACAACATAGCTATTACATGTTTTGCTGTGAGACTGGGTTAGCTTTAAAGCATGTATGTGCATCCCTTTATTCTAAATGTAGTGTCTTAAGGAGCCAAAGATCGTTTTGTTTTTATATATATATATATATATAAAAAAACAAAATTGTTGTAGCATCTATTTGATAATTGGATTGCAAGATAAGAAAAGTGTTTTCGTTGATTTGGATCAGAAACACCCATTTTCCTGTATTTTGACACGCCGTCCTCCCTGCGCCCTCAGGCAGTGGGACGAGCAGCTGGATCCCCGTCTGAATGCCAAGCAGAAAGAGGCCATCCTGGCCATCACCACACCCGTCTCTATCCCCCTGCCCCCGATCCTCATCATCGGGCCCTACGGCACCGGCAAGACCTTCACGCTGGCGCAGGCTGTCAAGCACATCCTGCGCCAGGACACCAGCAGGTTAGTTCACGTTTGTACTTTTACATTTGTTGCATCATTTGTTTACCTCTCGTAAAATGAGTCATCCTCTTTAAACCCCCATTCACTCAATTCTTCCATTAGATACATTTATTGTTTCTTTAAAAAAAAAAAAAACTTATAATCAAGGTACCTTGTATTTTGGACAATAGACATGTTTCTGAAAGCAAAGCCCTTTAAAATTACACTCATTTGTAATTTGTTTGTAGCGAAGTAATAAATGATTGTCCTATTCAAATCCTTTAATCGCAAATCCTTTCATCGCTTTATTATATTGTAATTTGCTATAATGGTTGCAAATGGAGTTGTCTATAGTTAGTTAGTTATAGAGGTGTGTCCCTATCAATAAAAATAAAACTCCAAATGAACAACTGTGCGTATAATATAGTCCAATTTAACTGCAACAACCCTGCATGGTTTAACTCATAAGAACCCAAATCCATTTTTATTTCAAATGCGTTGATACTTCCATTTAGTAACATCTGACGGTCCGAGGATGCGATCCCGGGGGGGGGGGGGGGTGGTGACTGTGCGGTGACGTCTTTCTCACTCTGCCGCAGCATCGGGTTTGACATCAATAACAATCGCCACACCCGTAACAATCAGGAAAACACAGGCTGAAGTGACAAGCTGTGCAGTGTGTGTGTTTGTAATGTGTTGGCGCATAGACTTTGTGTCATGCATGTGTCATCACTTAAGGACAAGGGCTGCCGGCCGTTCAAATGAATTTTTATCATCTGTGTTTCGGTGCACATGGTTGGTTTGATCATCTATATAATTATTTATCATTATTATCATATATATGTTGTTGTTGCTGTTGTAACGGTATAAAATTCTGATTACGTAAGTCCGCCGTTTCGAGTGTTTTTTAATATAGCAAAGAACATGCACGGTCTTAATGAAAAATAAATGCAATATTTCAGACGCTGTCCCCTGAACCGACAGGGTTGTATATATGTAACGTAAAAGGAAGAATAGTGTGTGCAATGTAATATTCATTCCTCAATTCACTTTGAACGCATTTAATATTCTTCAGGATGAATTATAGATATTTTAAAAGTCAAGACTGGGAAGTGACCCCTCTGGACCGGTGCTGACTGCTCTTTATACTGCTAAAATGATGAAGGTGTCGTATGGATCGTAGTCTGGTGGACCTAATGTGTGTTATTGTACATATTGAATGCTCAGAGTTCTCTCTGCGTAGCGTTCCGTCGTTGGGATGTTTCATCACTGTTGGAATGAGCAACACTAGAAGAAAGTTTTGCAATGCACAATTTAAACAAACCGGCTTCGTTGTCCTTCACTGTGAGCTTAAAGGTACTTTAAATCTATACTGCACATGGCATTTTTGTGTTTTTGTTTGTTTTCAATCTATTGTCAGATAAACATCTGATTCACAGCTTTTAACCATATAAATTGCATTAATGCGAGGGATAAAGTTTGTTATCCCATTAAGACGTATGTCGTGTGATTAAACAGTCAATGATCAATTTGATGTATGAAACGTTTGTATACATATAAACAAAAGGGATCACGTTATAAGGCTTCTGGCACCCCGAGTAAGAACACAAATGTTAATGTGGTTTCCAATTAAGCCGATCGTTTCTGCTCAATGTGCCATGTTTCTTCCACTGAGGATCACTCACTTTGCTTCTGACCCCGTTTGTCTTTTTGTCTCCGCAGGGTGCTGATCTGCACACACTCCAACAGTGCGGCCGACCTTTACATTAAGGACTACCTTCATCCTTACGTCGAAGCAGGCAACGCGCATGCCAGACCTCTCAGGTAAGGAAGCACACCTGCTTTATAAGGACTTGACCGCTAAAGGTAGACGTGTGCACAGACATGATGCTCACGGGGGTTTGTTTTAATCAAATCTTTGTGCATGTTTGAGTCCTATTTGTAGCCGTTCAGTCGGAATTTGAGAGGTGCTGTTGTGTTGAACTGGTAGTTCTGTGATCACGGACCCACAATGAGCCACATTTAGATTTTATATAGTGCAAACTCATTAAGACACCAACAGTTGACCAAAAAAGAAGCACTTGCTGCATCCCGTTATAATACCTGCCTGTTCTCTCCTGTATATTGGAGGTCTGCATAATTCTATTGATTTCTACATTCATTTCTTACAGCAGTCCAAGCTTGTCTAACGTGACCATTTAAAAACATTTGCATTGTATTATTTCTCTTACCACCCTAAAGGGAAGAAGACTCCATGTTATAATTGTACAATAAAAATACCCATGTTTTGTAGTTACTTACTCTCCTTTTGTGTGTGTGTGTGTGTGTCTCTCAAGGGTGTACTTCAGGAATCGCTGGGTGAAGACGGTTCACCCGGTGGTCCAACAGTACTGTCTCATCTCCAACACACACGTCAATTTCAAGATGCCCACAAGGGAGGACATCCTCAGGCACCGCGTGGTGGTGGTCACACTCAGCACCTCCCAATACCTCTGCCAGCTCGACTTAGAGCCCGGTGAGTCATATGTGTGATATGTAGTCCTCTCAAGTGTAGTAGCGGTCTAAATGGGTTTCTGGGTAACTGACAAACACCATTCCAATTGTTCAACGAACATGTAAAGAGGTTGACAAAATATTACAATTCCTTGATTTAATTCAGCCAAACACAATGACAGCCCTCAAGAGCGAGCATAGAATACAATCAATTTTTAACTGAGCTAGTTTTTGATATTGGTCTATGATACACTGCAATGTAAACGTATATTTTCTCAATATGAATGTGTCAATTTAATTCGCTCCCCTGTTCTTTGGTCACCTCCGAGCGTCTCTCGTATGTTTGCAGGAGCCGACCGTAGAGAAACGGAACTCTTAAGTTATGCAAAAGACGTGGAAAATAACCGGTTTGTCATTGCAGCTGACTCTGTGTCAGCAGAGGGGGTTTTGTCTGTTGCTTGGAAACACCATCTGCCTGTTTCTAATGTATTGTACATCAGTAGCCCTCTTCCCTGGGTCTCATCTCTCCGCTTATGAAAACGGTCAGGACGCTCTGCAACTTCGAGCCACAAAATCATGTTTTTCATTTTCATATTGCAGAAGAACTAGAAAGTCGAATGTATCGAACAAACCACTCTTACAACGGCTAAATGAGCTAACTTAAAAGGTTATGGAGAAGCTGTATTTTCCCTTTTTTAATGAGTATTGCTTTGTGTGGAGGCTGCTGGATCTGGCAGCCTGGTGCCAAAGGTTTAGGATTATAGCTCATACCGTGGCCTGTAAGAGAATTTTGTTATCCTAAAGGAAGCCGGCCCCCTTTTAGCTTGACGACAGGCACAAAAACACGTCCAAGACCAATGTGAGGATCTCCCAAAATAATAATAAATCCTTTGAGCTGTAGTCTCATTCTGAAAATCTAAAGTCAATATTTTATTAGTTATTGTTTTCACAGATCTTGCAAGTTAATACAAGGGTAGAAAGAACTGTGGAAAGTGAGAGACTGCGGGTATGAAGTGAAGCGACTCACATTTATTATTAAACGTGTCATAACAATTAGTGCCAACTAACACTGTGACTCTGATCTCTTCCCTCTCTGCTTATTACCCCTTCCTCTCTCTTTCATTAAACACCACTGTTAGCCCAATGACAAAAGGCAGATAGAGAAACTCCGGTTGACAGGGCGGTGAAACATTGAGGTTTATGTCCCCCCACGACTTGGTGTCTGCCCCCCTCCTTGTTCCCAACTCCCTGCACGGGGAAACATTCCCATTTGATTTGTAATCTACGTTACTTGTGAACGCTGCGTATTCGTGTGTATCCAGGTAGCAGAGCACATGGGCAGAACGCCGTACGGCTACTGTTGACTGCAATGTGTAGACGAGGTCAACAAACGCACGTGGCCTCAGTAATACACCAGTGTTTCCCTTGTAGCACATTTTAAGTATGTTTAAATCATCCAGAGGTTACTTTACTTACGTTGCATAATTTTATGTATTTGATGTAACAAATCACTTTATTTGGGATACATAAATATTAAGAATGGGGTTGTAGCCATGCTTTATGCCAATGTTTTTAGTCTGATGCATATACTACAAAGGTTTGGCCCTTGGTAAAAGTAAAAATGTATTCTTTTTCTATCAGTACCACAGGAGGGAACATTGCTAGAACCTTCAACGAGGTGCACACAGTTCAGAGGGAGCTCAGGCTTTGTAGTCTGAGGGGGAAAGCGGTTGTTCAAAGGCTGATTTAAAAAAAAATTAAAAAAAAGATGAAGGAAAATGTTCGACAATCAATTGGCTCCACCTGCTTTCTTTGCAGGCTTGTGTTTGCGCGGCAACTGCCAAAAAGTAAACGTTTTATTGTTTTCCGCCGTCACATTTCATATCTGCATTAACTCTCCTGTAGAAACTGCTCGGGCTTCAGAGTCTGTTTGCTGGTTGTTATTCAGCCTCTTCTTTCCCGGCTCCACCACTCATTTGCAATGCCGTTTCATGCCCTCCCCCCATGTCGCAGAGCACCGATTGAGCTTTTTAAATCAGTAGTGCTGCTGTTCAATCCCTTTCAAACGTCCACAACTTTGGTTCTCACGGTAAAAAGGAAAAGTAACTGAGGACACTGTTTATTCATGTAAAAATGTTCCTCTTCTGTGGGCTTTGATTTGGTTTTATTTTTTGATTAGATCTTTCTAAATTGTACCCATTATATGTATGTACAATATACGTTTTGTCTTAGCAGTATCGGTTTGCTGAGACACACGCGCGCACACACACACACACTCGGGATCCATTATCTTAACTTCTTCGACTGTTTTTTTTCTGATCAGCGGGTTCTCTGGTGTAAAAATGTGCTTCGCAGGGGGGGAAGCAACTGTTAATGTTTAGCACCAACAAACGTGAAGTACTAAAGTGACGTTGGCGTGTTTTGCAGGGCTGTTCTCTCATATCCTTTTGGATGAAGCGGCCCAGGCCATGGAGTGTGAAACCATCATGCCTTTTGCTCTAGCCAGCAAGCACACCCGCATCGTGCTGGCCGGAGACCATATGCAGGTAACCAGAATTAAAACCAACCAACCAACATCTTTTACTAGATACTAGTAAACGTACATCAAAGGGATCTTGGTCAGAAAATTGGAGAGCTTTTTTGTATTTTACAATAAATGAAACAAATTGTAAGTATTACGGAAGGATGCATTACCAGCGCAGACAATAGCTGAAACATCAGGTGGAGGTAGAAATCATTTTGTATTTTGCTGTGGTTTAGACCAGCGGCCCCCAACTACCGGGCCACGTCCCGGCCAATTGGCACTGGGCCGCGCCACAGAAAGAATACATTTTGGGCTGGTCATTTCGTCGTGTTTATCCGCCACATCTCCCAAGACCGAAAATATCCTCTGACATAAAAACGGTCCGTGAGGCAAAAAAGGTTTGGGACCCCTGGTTTTTACTCGTTTATCGACGCCAAGTAAAAAATAACAAGACAGCAGCCACTGTAGAGCTGAGGTTCTGGATCCACAGCTGACTAGAATTAAAGCTCCCATCAGTCAAGCCTTCATGAGCCGACGCAAGGAAGGAAAATCTTATTTCCCCCTGCGCTGGTTTTAGACAGCGGCGCAGGATTAGCAGGAGGCAGCAGAAGCAACGAGGCAGTAGCTGCTCTAATGACTTGATCGCTCTCTCCCTCGTTGCCATCTTTTGGAGCAAAGGAAAGCAGATTTAGAAGACGATATCCACTTGTGCATCCGTTTGCCTCAATCATGTCTCATGACCATCTCCTCCCTCCTTTCGGTCCTATTCAAGAGGACTTGGTGGGTCAAAGGAAGGATGTGGCCCGTTTTTATTTCTGTCTCTTCCCCCTCTCCGGTCTGCGCACACAGTTTACCTCCATTATTCAGCATCGGAAGAGCAGACTGAATGATCAATGGAGGCTGAGGCATCGATTGATTGTTCGCTCTCTTATTGATTGATTGTGTGGGGCCTCAGATAAGTCAGACTTAATTTAAGATTCAGACGAAGGCTGAACAGCAGTCTTTGTGTGGATGTGTACTCTGTTTTTAAATGTGTAACGTCGTTAGAATTAAATCACATCGTGGTCATCTTGCATATTGAAGACGTATAGACAGTCATGGTTTTTGATTTAATAACTACTTTTATGGAAAATTGTTTCACTTATTTAATAAATTGATATTACAAGAGTTTAGTTATAAAACGCCACCTGTGAGGTTTGGTATCAAACATCAAATGCTACTCTGCCTTTGCTGGAAGGCAGGGCCACATTTCGGCAGGTCTGTAACCAACACTGACTTCTGCATAATATAATATAATCTAATTTGATTTAAAAATGTTCCCGAACTGCTGTGAATTTTACTGCGAGTAAATTTTGGAGTAAGAAAGTGTCCAAACTTTGGTGTCCAAACTGGTACTGTTGATATAAATATATATTAAGGAACAAGGCTGCCCTCGTGAACCAAACTGCGTTCTTGTTTGAAACTTTAAAGGTTAAGCAAATTAGACCGCTGTAAGCACTTTGAAGAAGGGGATCTAGATTCCATCCTGTCAAAGCTGCTGCCACGTCTGTTTTAAAAACACATCGTTTTGTAGAGCTAACTCGCCAAGCCAGTTCATGTTCCACGTCGAGCACGACCATGTGTGATTAGCACAGCTTAACCACCTGAATGTGTGTTTGGAAGAAAACGCCTGTGTGGCACATGGTTTTGACACAGCTTTGCTGAACTTTGGATTCAAGGAGAAGCAAGGATGAGCAAGCTGTAAACTGCCTTTGTCATGCTTTGAAACCAACTTAACTTTCTGTTTCTCCCTGTTCTCTTCAGCTCAGTCCGTTTGTGTACAGCGAATTTGCGCGTGAGCGTAACCTGCACGTGTCACTGCTGGACCGGCTGTATGAGCACTACCCCCCCGAGTACCCTTGTCGCATCCTCCTGTGCGAGAACTACCGCTCTCACGAAGCCATCATCAGGTAGGTGTGAGCCCTCCACACTGTCTGATGTCAAAACGGTGGGAGGAGAGGCACTCAAGGAAAGGGGGGGGGGGGTGGGAGGAACAGGTCAGGAGGGAAAGAGGGAAACGCAGGTGAAGAATTCACAGACATGCGTTGTCCTGATAGGACCCATCGAGTAAAAATGTTCTGACTGACTATCGCTCCATGCAGAGTTTTCTAACCTCAAGCAGACACAATAAAGAGTTTACAAGATGCAAAGAGGCTCTCCTCCATCTTAATACAATTTAGTATGATTTGTTTGCTCGGGTTTTAAGTGGGTTGTACTTAATGTATGGGATTAATCAGTGCTGTTGCAACAGCTGGGCCCGATGGCGCCGCGACACACGCACGCTAAAATACACTCAATCTGTAGCACAAGTTTTTAGGTTTTAAATACATTTTATTTTTCATTCAGGGTTATTAAGCTCTGCTAATATAGACAATGTTTCTTTAATCTGTCTGTTATTGAACATGTTTATTACTTTCCCAAATTGTCAAATACCCCACCTGGTACCACTGGAACATGTGCAGATTCTTATTAAGCTCCAATAGATGGCTTTGCACCAACATACTAATATCACTCTCTTTTTGCTTCTCTTCTTCCGACAGTTACACGTCTGAATTATTTTATGATGGGAAGTTAATGGCAAGTGGGAAGCAGCCCTCCCACAAGGACTTCTACCCTCTGACCTTCTTCACAGCCAGAGGAGAAGATGTCCAGGAGAAGAACAGCACTGCCTATTACAACAATGCAGAGGTATGAAAGTTAGCATTGGTTTAATTTTTAGACCTGTTGCCTTATTGCAGGATTTCCCTATCCTGTCCCACAGACTCAATGTTTTTCTGAATCTTATTTCCACTGCATTGCTGAGTTTCTAAAGTTTAAAACTACACTATCAGACCAAATGGCGCTGCTCCCTTCCTCTGGGTAGGTTTTTCTGTAGAGTAATTTGTGTTCATTGACAGTGTCTCACCTTTGACCCTTTATCGACGAGTTCTAACCAATTAATCCACGGCTGCTTCTTCACTTTGCTCTCAAACTGTCTGCAATGCCAAATGAATTACCTCCCGTCTCCCCGATACACCACCCGTGTAAAACCGTTGACTGCATTATCCTAATCGTGCTAAATTAAAATGTGGTACGCATGTCTATTTGATAGTCCTGTGTAAGTGTCTGTAATGGTCCTATCTTCAAGGGGAAGAAAATATCTCCTATTTAAAAGCACCTTTTATGAAAAACAAAAACCGAAAAGGGATTGAAGCACCAACTCTTGCATTAAAAAAAAGAATCCAATCCAAGCAAAATTATAAAATTTGTGTAATAATTATGTATGGAATTTAAAATGAAATCATCATCTGTGCAGCAGGCTTATAATGTTAAAAAATAATCTACATAAGTATTTTAAGAATGAAATCCAAACATATTACATATCAAGTGTCGCAGTAAGTAAACCACCATTACTGTTCATTTTTGCAACACATGGTGGTACAGTAGTTTTGGTTTGACATGTCTTATTCTCCCAGAAGCCTTTTTTCTCTCAAAAATCTTGTCGCTCCCCTTCGCTCATGTTCCTCCATCTTCGCAGGTATTCGAAATTGTTGAGCGGGTGGAAGAGTTGCGCAAGAAGTGGCCGGTGTCCTGGGGTAAACTGGACGACAGCAGTATTGGAGTAGTGTCACCGTACGCCGACCAGGTGTTCCGCATTCGCGCTGAGCTCCGAAAGAAGAGAATGCACGAGATCAGCGTGGAAAGAGTCCTGAATGTCCAAGGTGAGGAGGAAGTATTGAGGATCATGCATCTGCGCACGTGTGTAGCAACTGGCTCAAACCGTGGAACTCGTGCTACATCAATGTATCGCTTTGTGAATGATTTGACATTTAAATGGCTGTTATGGTTGGCCACCAAAAACCAGTGTTTTCCTTAATGACGTATCGAAATGCAACGCAGAGTTCCGTGCTTCCTTTTGGTGCCTGAGACAATATTTTATTTGTCTATTGAGGACTCATCGCAGCAGCTAACGATAGCCTACTGTTTGCAGCCATCTATCTTCTATTATTACTTATTACTACTATAACTATTTAAGTCGGTGGTTCCCCTACCGTTATCAAAGTCTGGTTTTTGGACACAGGCGGACACACACGTCCACAACAACTTCTTTTCGTCTTTATTTTACGCAGCAAAGCATAAATGAAAAATAAACTCTGTCACACGATAGAAAAGCTATATGCTCTCGTGCCTAATGCAGCTCTTCTGTGTTGCACCTGCTGCAGTTGCCGTCAATAAATCGAGACAAACAAGCAGCGTCAATGTAACATACTTTTCAACATATGTTACTTCCCTTTAGTTCCGGCACAATGCCCATGAATCTAAAATGAAATGATTAATAGTCCTGAAATTCCAATTAACTTATTTATATATATATATTTATATATATATATATATATTTATATATATATATATATATATTTATTTATTTATATATATATATATATATATATAATCACACCCAGCTCTTACAGCTGGAAAAAAAAAAACATATCCATTCCTAGATGCTCTCCTGCATTTGTACATGTATGTAGTTTTGTTTTAACACTTAATTTGATGGGTTTATCAACATAATTTAAAAAGTGGAATTGTAAACTAGAGGAAAGCAGCTATTGTCAGACGATACAAAAATAGTTACAGACAAACAATTACCAACATTCAAGTCCATGCCCCTCTTCATTCAACATGATACTTACAATGAGAGCTACATTGCCTTAAAGACAAATCTCATATCTCATTGCAGGTATGACAATTCATATTACCCTTCATATCATCCATCAGGATATTGAGTTTACAGTTTCTTTCCCCTCAATCAATCTCTTGTCTGCTCAGGCTTCCTCGTCAAACACACACACACGTAAGAAAACTACTGTGGTCAATGCTTGAAGTTGAAGTTAACACAAGTGTTTATTTGTGTTCCATCAACGACTCCTTTCAAGTGCAGAAACCGTACAACATAATTCGCTAAAGACCCCTCAGGCTATTGGTTTCTCTTTAGCTGTTCTTGGCTGTTTCTAATAATATGTTTCACTCTGCACTTGTTGAAATACTTGGAAAGAAGTTCATGGTGATAATGATGATGCGTGTTTGCAGGCAAACAGTTCCGGGTGCTGTTCCTCAGCACGGTGCGGACGCGGCACACCTGCAAACACAAGCAGACGGCCATCAAACGTAAAGAGCAGCTCGTTGAGGACTCGACAGAGGACCTCGACTATGGATTCCTCTCCAACTACAAGCTGCTCAACACGGCCATCACCAGAGCCCAGTCCCTGGTTGCAGTTGTGGGAGACCCCATTGCACTCTGCTCTGTTGGGCGCTGCAGGTAAATAATGGCACTTTTCTTCCTTGGAGCTTTTAGGACTGTAACATAACAGGTTTGTATGCAAAGTGATAATTCTGGGGAAGTTCTATTCTTGTGATCTAGTAAATCAATTGGACCATATATATAGTTGCTCTGAGGGGGAAATACTATTGGCTTCCACCTTTCTCTATTTGAATATCGTCATTCACTCTCTTGCCCACCTTCGATTTCCCTAGCAGCTGTCGTCTGTTTGCCTCCGCTAACGCGTTGGAAAAGAACAATTATTCCTTTTAATAACATAACTATTCTCCTGAATCGTCAATGTGGACTGCTCACTGGAAGAACGTATACTTCCTATACTTGTGTTCCTGCCCACTAACCACTACTTTAAACGTGCATTTGTTTCAACAGACGGATTTGTTCTATACAGCCACAGTAATTTGTTTTACTGCCAGCAATGCTAAAAATAAATTAAACCATTTAATGCATGAAACGCTCAATCCAAACAAGGAGAAATAAAGGAAAATAGAATAACATAATCTCCAGCTGTTGTTTCCTCTTTTTTGTGCCTTTCTAGAAAATTCTGGGAGCACTTTATCTCCATCTGCCACGAAAACTCAAGTCTCCATGGCATCACCTTTGAGCAGATCAAGTCTCAGCTGGAGGCCCTGGAGCTCAAGAAGACCTACGTCCTCAACCCATTGGCCCCGGAGTTCATCCCCCGTGCCCTCAGGCCGCAGCAAGGCCACCACTCTTCATCGCAGGCCCTCCACCCCCACCATCATCCACATCCTCAGCATGCTCAGGCCGCCTCTAACAAGCAGGGTCCGCAACAACAACAACAACAACAACAACAGCAGCAGCAACAACAGCAGCAGCAGCAGCAACAACAACAGCAGCAGCAGCAGCAACAACAACAACAACAGCAGTCCCCCCCTAAGGTGATGCACAGTGTTTCCTTCCACCTATTCTATTACATTTTCAATATGGGCATTCAAAATCACACCCAACTGTAGAAATTATTTTAAAAATATATAAAAATTTGACTTATTACTGGATACGCGTCCACGGCTTTTCTTCTGCCAGTACTGAAAATAACAAATTAAAGTTGGCTAATGCAGTGCAGCAATAGAACAAGAAAAGGAAGAATGGAAAACAGAGTAGTGAGACGGGTGGGACTCATTTGGCGAGCCCAATTGTTGCAAGGTTTCTGATGTTCATGTAATGTGTTGGGTAACCAACCGCCTTTTGGTTTTGCTTAAAGTAGTAAACAAATAATTCAGAGTAGGTTGAGTGTGTTTTGCTTATGGAGCTGAAAAATGGTAAAAGGGCTGCATCTTGCAGGCTCAGAGCACATATCTATTAAATTGCTTATTATATCATATATTTTTCGCCACAGTAATTACCTAGTGCCCCAGAAAAACAATACAGATATAACTTCAGCGTTGCAGGTTCGGCATAAGGATGTGGTGTTTGATTGTCTAGCTTGGGTTGAAATGTCTCTGCGAGTTGCTCTGTCCTCCTCGTGTGCTGCGTGGTAAAGGTTAACGAAACCCACACTGTCAACCTGCTGCCATCTCCCACTGGGCCTGATGAGCCACACAGCACCTTCCGCGCTAGTCCTACTACGTGGCACATGAGCGCACACGCGCATGGTGCTGTCACAATGCGGTATATAATGTATTGTTTCCTTCAGCACATCTAGCATGTTGCTAATTTAAAGGTCAGACCATTCCTGACCATTCTTACAGGGTGGAAGCACCTACTGAGATGTACAGGCAAAATAAACAATAATACATGAATTATTTCAATTTTAAAAGTTTCTATTCAAGCCTGTGTTGTACGGCTCAATGCTGGTCAACATTACACCGATACCATACGTTTTGAGTACTATCCAATCCCCAAAAATCTGGCTCATTGTAGTATTTATAGTGTAAACAGGCAGGATAAAATGAATGCTTAATAAATCAATTTGTAGACAGTTGATCATTGTTGTTTCTACCGATCAATATTCATAACTTGATATTGAAGGGCAGAAAATTAAAGGATGTTACATAGGGATTATAGGTCCCTATAATCCCTATGTAACATCCTTTCATTTTCTACCCAGAGGTGTCAAAAGTCTTCACATTCATTACTCAAGTAGAAGTACAGATACTAGGGTTTAAAAAGACTCCTGTAGAAGTTGAAGTATCGAGCTTTTTACTTAAGTAAAAGTATAAAAGTACTGGTTTCAAAACTACTTAAAGTATAAAAGCAAAAGTAATGTAAGAAATTTCATTAAGGACAAACTTAATGTGTAACCTCGCTCACACAACACGTCAGTCCGTTACAATGTGATCCGAAGGTGCCTGCAGATCACGTGACCTGCCGTTGGGATGATGGAAACATGGCGACATTCAGAGACACAACAAAACAACAAATGTATCTGACTTAAACGGATAAAACCACAACCCATTTTCCAGTGACACAAGTCACACACACGTTGTTAGACTGCAGTGTCTCCCCCAGGTTTACTACGTCATGGGGGGGGGCACCCCTGTGTTATAATGATGGGAAACACTGAACTGGCAGCGGTCGGTTATCAAAACATTGGCCAAATAACCAGTATTTTCAGGCTTCATGAGCAAATACAGAATCCCTTTGTGTTCATTTCCAAAGCCGCATTAAGACACACATCACTTTATTTAATCCGCTACTTGCAAGTCGCTGTGTTGTGCCAGACTCTCAATAAAACATTTAGGACAAACTCACGAAGATACTCATTTAACGTTACATGGAATCTGCGTGAGGAAGAGGAGGAGGGTCCATGTTGCTAAATACCAACTTTCCACCGACCACTTTTCCCACCCAGTGTCGCTCCGATCTGCCGACGCATCGCGGAGAAAACCAACCGGGTGTCTGGATGCTAAATGTTTATACTTCTCATCCAAACACAATCACATTCACTCTGTCCGGATAGCGCCATTTATCTGGATGTTTTTTTTTTTTTTTGTAACGAGGCTGTGTTTAAGTAGAAAGTACAGATATTTGCGTGAAAATGTAAGGAGTAGAAATAAAAAATCATCTGAAAAATGAATACTCAAGTAGAAATGTTGTGTATCTATACTTTACTGAAGTACAGTAACGGTGCTACGCATGTAGTTGCAGTTACCTATTAATTTATTCAGCATTTATAAACTATACAACATGGCCACTGTTACCAGAAATAAATGCTTTATTTGACATTATATTGTGAAGGGATGTTTTCAGACACAGATAGTGTTTTGGTGCAATTAAGAAAGTCTGACATTTTAGTTAAAGCTTTAGTTGTTTTAAGAGAGATGAAGATTTGACCAACCAACTAGATTTTACTTAATTTACTGAACTTTACTTCTCTTTTCGTTGGTAGCTGGGCTTTGTTTCACAATGGGATTGTCATACTAGAAATACTGTATTCACAGTGGTATATTTATTTTTAAATTGCAGATTCCCCAGAAAACCCTTTGTTGATAATTACTCGCTGAAATACATGCAAATGTGTTGTGAGTGCCAAACCGTAGTATCAGTAGTACCATAAAGACATAATGGGCTTCGTAATGATTCTACGTAATCACTCTTCTTCCTGTTATTATGGCTAGCTTTCCTTACTCGAATGTAAGCGCTATCAGCTTCATATATCAGCATTGCAGTTGCCTCATGGAATTAGTTTTCATTAATGTCCCCCACTAAGCGGAAGCACATTCTGTCAAAGACCATTTGTTAACACCACGGTAACCTGGGAGAGGCTCTGTACCACTGACACAGCTCCCAGTACGTTGTGTATTCTTGCCTTTTAATGATTACTAATAGATGAGGTGTGTCCACCTACACAGTTATGTGGAGATCTCATGTGAGTCCAGGCTTTTCCAAATGTGTTCCTCCACATGAGTACTTGTTACTCTGAAGTGTTGCTTCATGACTTTCTAATGATTTTTCTTTCTCCTCTTCAGGGTAAACATGCAAACCACACAGAGCATCTTCCGCCTGAAGGATATGGTGAGTTTATTGCTGTTGATTATACAACCATTCAAAGCTTGAGGCTCCCTTTGATTTGCTAAGGCAGTTTTGTTTTTGTTCACTTGACTGGATTTATATAAATGAGGTCTAATGCAGGCAAAATGTGAGACTTCAGGTTTTTTATTTTATTATCAGGTATTACAACCTTGTCTATTCTATGTTGTCTCTAAACACAAATGTGTACAAATCACATTAGCTCTAAACGAGCGAGTCTATGCAGCAACGCAGGTGGGTGAGCGAAGGCCTGCGGGTGTCAGAGGCACCTGTGCGACGCAGCCTTGAACAACGCAGCAAGGAGTTGTTAATAAGACGTTTAGTACAGGAAGACAATCGGCTTGTTTCACCTGCTGCAGGATAACATGGTGCCAACTGAAAATAAAATCAAATGAAATTTGCAGATTTCAATTCTTACCTTTAATGCAGTTTGTGCATTTCTCATTTATAGGTCGCCATAAGTCATATAGGTTGTTACCCAATGTTTTCCACACTACGAGTAGTTGGATAAGGCTTGTCTGTTGCTTACTGTCAATGCAGGGCTCTCAAGTGTCACGCCATAAATCAATAAATAAATCGTTTTCCGATCTAACGTAACTTATGTTGGATTTTCCAACAAAAACCCTCTTGGGCACAAGTTGTGTTGGTGCATCTCTGGTCTCGTTGTTCCTCCTGTATCTCTCTTTTCCGTGTTTTCATGTAGCAACAGAGTTACTTCTTGTTGTGAGCTGTACCCAGCATACCCAGTTTGGTGGGCTCATTTTTTATAAATGTACATTCCATCTTCTCGTTGCAGCGCAAGCCAACCCAGCTGTGTTGATGGGAAACCCTATTAGGGCATTCACGCCACCCTTGGGTGGCCCACCAGCTGCCATGGGCAAGTCACCCAGTCCTGTTCAGAGGATCGATCCTCATACGGGCGCCAGCATCCTCTACGTCCCCGCTGTGTACGGTGGCAACATGGTCATGTCTATGCCCCTGACTGTAAGTTTCCGACAAAGTTGCATATTAAGATTTTATATATAATATAATCAATAAAAGTAATTATAAAATATGGTCATATTTTAGCAAACATTTGTGTTGTTTAACAAGAGAAGAATGTATTTTGCATGCAATCTACTATTGATTGGTGTACTGTATTACTTGTGGGAATTGAGTGCTATATTTGTCACTTTGTGTAATGTCCAAGTTGCGTTGTATAAGATTTATAAGGTTTGCGTTTCAAAGAACAATCTAAATATTGTAATTGCTCCTCTCGTGGCAATTTTTTTTATCACTGATACTACACCACAGTAAAAAGAACAAAAAAATTATTTTGTTGACATTTCCTTCTCTCGTATAACCCAAATACAAACACACTTACATTGGATTAGTTCTCTATTACATTGCTCATTTGTAAGAAATGGACTACATATTTTAGTTTTTATCTGCCACCGTTTGTACTATTTGATCCAGTAACCCAGTCTGTGTTTACCTCCCTCTCTTCTGTCACAGTGTCTGAATCAAAAATCTGCCATTCTGTGTTTTTATTTCTTTAGTTGCCTTGGCCAGGTTACCAGAATCGATTCCCCGTAGACCCTCGGATCATGAGCCACCCGGCAGCCATGGCCTACAACTTCAATCTGTTGCAGGCCCAAAATCGAGGCTCCCCCATCCCATACAGTGGGGTGGCCCACCCCACTCATCTAGGAATAGGCCAGCCCAGCCCCGACAAGGAGCTGCAGGCAGACCCCATCAGAAATGGTATGCGTCATCCACCAAATGACAAATTGCTGTAATTGTATTTCATAAAATAGAACGAAAGAATCAAAATATGTTTTGTTTTTGGGTGTTTTGACTTTTTAGGCAAATTAGAAGGATGTCCAAAGTCCGAACAGAGCCGTCTTCAGACACCAGAGAGGAAAAGCACCGACATGAAGGAAAAGCAGGCAAGTTGTTGACATTATGTGCCTCTTGAACCTTAATCAACTTGTCTTATTTTGATGTAGAACCACAAGTCTTTGCTCATGGGCTTTGGATTATTTGTTTTTGGCTCCAGGGAGATTTAGACTCGGGCCAGAGCCGAAGTCTAGATCCTCAGCCAGACGGGCTCGTTGGATTTCCCAATTCGCTGCTCCATCGAAAAGATCCCACCGCTGCTCAAAGACCCCTCAACTATCACCTGGCACCACCCAACCAAGCTTTCCCTCCACACCCTGCCAGTGGAAGGGCCTTCCCCCCACAGTACCCGGTCTCTAGGCTTCCTTATCGGGTTGGCCAGCCTCAGCACCCAGGGATGGCCCCGCCGAGTCAGCAGCAGCAACAGCTCAGCCCCGCCTACACCGGAGGCACCCACAACGCTTCCTTCTTCATCGGCCCCATACCTTCTCACAGGGCTGTCCAATCGCCCACATTGGATGGGCCCGCGCCTGGAGGGGTGGAAGACATGAGTAGCTCCATTCGGACTCCAATGGGCCACCCGGGGAGTCATCACCCGGGGCTGTCACAGCATAACCGCGTCAACAGCTTTGGGGAGGACGGACAGGATGTCGGCCTTGGAGATAGTTTGGGTAAGTGGAGCAGCATCGTACTTATTTTCTCAATTAGGCAAATTCTGAGAGCTACAATTTGAACCGGCAATTTGTTGGTTATTTGTTAGTTTATTTGAATTGGTACAGAATTGACATGTAGCTCGTGGCTTTTTATTCTTGATTTTCATAAAGTAACCAAGCAGAATGCAAATACGAGAATAATCCCAATTATTTTCCAAAAGTCTTTGTTGTGGCTTACGTTCGTGTTTGCCCATATTACTTGGTGGTTGGACTATGGGTCAACATCCAGTGTCCATTAAAGTGAGCAAGCAATGTGTCCCTCCCAGAAAAGTCATTCCTTTTCTAATGAGATTAGTAGTAGATTGGATAGCACATTACATTAACTTAAATAATGGAAACTAAAATAAATGCTGAAAGCTGAATTGCAATAAAATGTTTAGTCTGCCTTGTTTCTGATGGCACACAATCCTCTGCTCTTTTTTTTTTCCCTGTCTTGTATAGAAAATAAATGCCGCCAACTGACTGCAACTAATCACACTGTTCCCCTTTTAGACCTGCAGGGCCCCCTGGCTTTAGAGGCCCTGAGCCAGCAGCAGCAGGCAGCCAGACTGGGCCAGTGGGGGGAGGCGGCGGGCCCTTTTCTCCAGGGTAGCGTCCCCTTCCCTCTTCCCCAGCAGCTTGCCCACCTTGCTCAGCCTGGCATGGCTCGCTTCCCCCCTCAGCTACTCCAGACAGCCAATTGGGGCCTGAGTGCGAATATTGAGGATGAAGCTGTCTCTTCTGCTTCCACAGGACCACCTTTCACCAGGTAGGACATCCCAAGAGTTTGTATCAAGTGTATTAAGACGTTGTATTAAGTTAATATTAGATTTTAGAGACGTTTTCGAGTTGTACTGTTGAACGGTGAAAGTTTTGTGTAAAATTGAGTGATAATTGTTTTTGCCGAATAGCGTTCTTTTCCATGATACCTTTCGTTATCAATTCCCAGGTACCCGGGCCTTTTGAGAGAGCTTCCCCCACAGGAACAACCTGAACCCAGGGATGCAATCGAGATGCAGCCCCCACCTCAATCCCGTCTCCTTCAGTACCGTCAGTCCCAGTCCCGTGCCTCAGGTGACCCTTCATCCACTTTAGCTGCCACCCCTAATCACGCTAGTCCTTTCCCATCAGGACCCTATTCACATGACGCAGGCCGCGATCTCCTTAGCGACAACCCTCTCAACAACCCAGCTCTGCAGCAGCAGCATCCGGGAAACCCCCTGTATAATACTGGTAGCTACCCACATCAGCAACCAACCCACTCTGCCGGCAACCCTTCATCCCAGGTCAAATACCTGCTGCAGGAGGCCCAGTGGCCTCATGGTGGAGCTGCGTCAGTAAGCCCACCGCAGCAGAACCACCTGTTGGGGAACCAGGCCCACGGCCTTCCTTATGGACTGCCCATCATGGCTCATCCCAGCAGGCAGGAGCAGGTCCACCTGATGCAACTTCACCAGCAGCAGCAGCAGCAGCAGCAGCAGCAGCAGCAGCAACAACAACAACAACAACACCATCATCAACAACAGCACCATCACCACCACCACCACCACCAACAACACCACCACCACCACCAACCACAACAACAACAACCACCACTGCAACAGCAACCACAACAACAAAGTCAAGTTCCAGATCAGGAAAGCTACCACCCACTTTCCCCCAGAACATCAGCAGCCACAGCCCTTCACAATGTAGATGAGGTAAGAATGGCACAGGCTAAGACCATTTGAAAAGGAACTGTTTGTTTGTTTGAATTCCTATTCAAGCACAATTTACGTTGTATGCTTGAACGGGACAGACTTTGTATGCTTTCACTTCTCATAACATCCTAGATGGTGTTTTTTCTGGTTCATATGACTCAAGTGCAAGCCTTTTGCCTGTCTTAATATGGGCAACTTGTTCGGCCACCAATGTTGCATTTAAAATTCACTGCACACGTCAATGTGGACTCTGTTTTATTATAGGTTAGTTACTGTTAGTGCCAAATATGATCAAGAAATAAGTAAGACCTGCACTAAAGAGAGTTGTATTAATGCTGTGGTGCTTGGATCCTTACATAAAAGTGATTAAGGCCTTTTACCCGCCGCTCTGACTTAATATATCATCCTCACCCTATTCTCCTCCTCATCCATCGTTGCTGTCGGTGCAGTATGAACCCCGAGGTCCAGGCCGGCCTCTCTATCAGCGTCGCATCTCTTCTAGCTACCCAGAGGAATCGTCTCCAGCCAACGCCCACAACGCCCTGTCCCAACAGCAACAGCCCTGTACGTCAGACATCCAGGACCATGCCCATCAGCACATACAGCATCATCAGCACCCGCATGCCCCCTACGGTTACCCCTCACATGACCTCTGGCCCAGCAACGGTGGGGGTCCCGGCTCGTTCCAGAACATTCCATGTAATGGAGCCGGTACACTCAGTCAGCACCGGGACCTTTTGGGTAAGCACCTCCAAATATAACCACGCTGTGATTCTGGGGACGTTTTAAACAGGCTTTTCATTTCTGGTTTGGGGGGTGAGAGTTAAAGCCGAATCATCTTTTACACTGTTGTTTTGAAAACTATTCCTTATGTTCCAGCTTCCAAGGCCCTACGTCAGTCGGAGGAACAGGTGAAGGCTGAGGTCACAGCAGCACAGCAGACGCACCCACACCCTCTCAACTCACTTCAGCATCTTGGACAGTTTCCCCCTCTCATGCCCAAAAACAAGCAGCAGCAACAACAGCAACAGCAACAGCAGCAGCAACAACAACAACAACAACAGCAACAACAACAGCAGCAGCAGCAGCAACAACAACAACTGCAGCTGCAACAACAACAACAGCAGCCACCACCTCCCCCGCCGCCACCCCCACCACCCCCGCCGCAGGCTCCCACGGAGGCTAGCCAGGGGGCTCCAAATTTAAGCAAGCCACCGACCATGTCCTATGCCAGCGCCCTCCGTGCTCCACCCAAACCCCGAGCTGTTCGCCCTGAACAGGTCAAAAAGAACAGCGACCCTCTCTCCCTCTTACAAGAGCTGAGTATAGGAAGCTCAAATGGTAGCAATGGGTACTATTCCTACTTTAAATGAGTGTAACCCCTCCCACATATTAAGCAAGTAATGACATAAAACTAAACAAAAACAAAAAAAAGGTAAAACTTAAACTCAAAAAAATATAGTGCAAAGTGCATTTACAAATTGTTTCTATAGTAGGTTTTTTCTGCATTTTGTTTCATTTTAACTTTTTATTTGTAACAGTCATCTCTTCTCCTGTTTCACATATCTGTGACGAAAATAAGTATATATAATAAATGCATTACCGGTATATATACATAAAAATTATGTATATATGAATATATACTATATAATCTACACTTGTATATGTACGTAATGCTAAAACAAAAGTTATAAAAAAAATAAAAGAATGAAACAAATAAAAAAAAAGTTTGGTTGACCACTAAGCTACCTGCATATTTTTCCTAATTGAAGTTAGTTTTGTTGGTTACTAAATAAGTATGTTGACGTTTTTATCATTTTGTATTCCTCCATTATGAGTGGACGTTACGTCTTTTTACATACTACTGTAGTTGTGATAACGAACAAAAGCTAAGTGGTCAACCGACACAAACTACATGGAAAAGTGTATAGAAGTAGATCAAATTTCCTCTAATCTGTAAATATAAAGAAAATAAAAGACTGAATTGTATGCCACAGACATGTCCTTAAATTCCTGTATCATGCTAGCTTTTGCATTATGAATTATTTTGTTTGTTGGCGTCTGATCCTTAATTCTTAGACATCCTTGGAATAGCTGGGAATTCTTTTCAGTGATTTAGTAGTAAATGTGATTATTTACTTTTTAACTAAATACAATAGAAATATTGGTGGCGTATTTTACTTTTTACCAATTTCTCATCGGCAACAAAAACGAGTGTGAAAATGTCAGATTTGCAGCAACCCGGTCATTCCTCTTTTGCTGGTTTTAAGGATCAGAGAACACCAGACATCACTGTCTATGATTAGAACGGCTTCGCTTGTGGCCGATGCGCAGACATTTTATTTTGTTGTATCTTTTTTTTCCTTTTTTGTCTTTGTGTCAGCAAAAATCTTCAACGCAGAATTGTTTTCAATGACTGTTGAAGGATGTTTGTCACTAATTGCTGTTGAGCTTTTGTTTTTTTAAAAAGGTTGCCGTACTCTGAAGGTTTGTGAAAGTGAAGCGAGGGCGGTGAGGTCAGTGGTGTGTCATGATGGGTGAGTTGAAACTGAGGGTGAGATCAACACTGCCTGTCAGTCATTTTTGAACAAGCTAATTGTAAGCATTCTTTTGGTTAAATCTGAAGTATGTTGAAACTGTAGATTCACAGTAAATACACATCGTTAATAAACTAGTGTTTGTGGCCTTTTCTTTGGTTGGAGGTGGTGTGGATCAGCAAGCTGCATACTGTACGAATTGGATCATTGATGGTGTCTGCGCTTAACATACAGTTGGTCTTTTCCTTAGTCCAAACCGGATTGCCCAAACAGTAGGACATTCTTTCTAATGTCCGGAGATATATATATATATAGTTGTAGTTGACCACTATTATCTAAAATCTCACACAAATGGGGATGTTTGCGAATAGGTCAAAAGCATTTCTTTTACTTATTTTCAAACCAATTCCACATCTCTTTTAACACTGCTTGAGATTTAACCCCAAAAATGCAATCAGCTATTCAAAGACGTATGACTGTTGATGTGTCTGTTGTGTTTCGACCGTGCAAAATCAGAGCAAATCGTTCCTGACTAAGGCAGGTTGGTTGTTGGTCATCCAGAGCATTACGTTATTCAACTTTCCCCCCTCTAATCTGATTGATGATGATCTGAAATTCACGTTAAAGTGTCCGATTGGTCGCCTTCCCCTTTTGGTTGAACTGAAAAAGCTGCGACTACTTTATAATTGGGCCGTCAGCATTACTATCGCCATACAGCGAGATGACGAACGCGACACATGAACATTCATGTTTGAGTTCCAGTCAGTGAGCTGCTTTAGTAGTCGATGTACAAACTCGCCCGGGAGCCACCGAGCTTTCTATTTTGCAAGAAAAATGTTTAAAAATACTATATCTGCCCCGTGTTTCCTTTTTACTGAAGGCAGTACTGGAAGCAGTCCTCCAGGGCTCGGCCCTCTGATGTGTAATTTGTTTTAACATCACTGCCCCCTTTCTCCAACATCCTGCTGCTTCACGGCAGCCGCTCCCAGATAAATCTGTTTATTTGTGCGGTTTTAAGTTTTGACATAGTTCAATGGTCCAGATGCTCTGACTTGGCGGAGAACAACACATACTTGTAAATATGCATTTTCTAGCTATTTACAAACAAGAACATTGGGATCGCCTCAATTTTGTAGAAGCTGTTTAAAGAAGAGCTATGCCCTTTTTAATTATGCAAATTCACAAAAAAATTATAATTCTAAAGATGGACAACAGCAACCTAATTGGTAGTTGCCTCATCTTGTTGACAACTTTTTATTATTTTTTCGTTTTTACCCAAGTTGGTGTCTTGCTGATTTGACAAAGAGGAGAACTTCTGTTGCAGGTGTTTTAAGAGGATTTATTTCACTGTACAATACATATTTTTAGGTATATTTTGCTGAATTGGTCCTGGTCTGTTATCTCACCGCTGTACAACAATCTACATGTTTTTTTGTTTTTTTTAATGTGAACCTTCTTTTTTCTTTTAATGCATGTTGAGATGTCCTGGCTGGTGTTGATCCCTGTTTTTATCTTTGCATTGATTTGTGGGTGGAAAAAAAAACAGGAAAAAAAACAACTTTTGTTGAACATACAAAATCAAATTTTGGTATTTTATTTGATGTGTACAATAACTTGTGACATTATCAACAAAACTTTTATAATGTTTTACTAACATGTCAATCAAATATGTAATGGTAATGTAAGTTATTTTTTCTTTCTGCGTTCACCCAGCCGGGTGAAAGCTGAGGTTTCTCCCTGGTGTGCGCGTGCTTTCGCTGAAGCTTTGGACGTGTTTTTTGGGGGGGAATCATCTCTCCCCAAAGCGTTGGCTGAGTTGTGCAATACTAACATTTCACTGCTTCTCCACTTTTATTTATTTTCTGAGGCAGCAGAGATTGAGACACATTTTAAAGGGATCTTATTTCCATTGCCGCTTTGTTGTTATGGCTTCATTTTTATCCTTTATTAGTTTCCCAAATTGGTTTTGACCGGATCTTTGCTATGAAACTCTTATAATGAAGTTCCACATTTTAATATTTGTATCATCACATGAATTATTTACTTTAAACAAATTCTGTTGCCTTTTTGAAGAAAGCGAAGCGATGCCGTGTGGAAAGGGAGCAACCTTTTGCCCAGCCAGTAGAGGGCACTGTGTTCAGCCTCCTGTAGACGCCACATCTCTCCCCGTTATCCGTTGCTCTCCTCTGTCCTTCCCTCGCTGCAGTGAATCAATGGCACACCTGTTCCCCCAGCCTCCCGCCCCCATTGGTTCCCTCCTCGTGGGTACATAATAATGGATAGATCTGTTTTACTCTTCATTTCAATTGGTGGTGGTTAGAATAAAGGATTTAGACTGTGTTTCAAAAGTTTAATTTCTTTTTTATTTGTTTCTCTATTAAAGTGTTTCTATTGAAACTGCCAGAGTTCTATTTTTTTTCTTCTGCATTGTTACATATAAAACAATAGCACGACTGCTGGATTTGTGAAAGGATTTGAAGAGAATTAAACGTAAAAGGTTTCAAATATATTAGAAAATGGTCACCGTGTCCGCAGCAGCATCTCCTTCGTCGTGGCTCGTATGTTGTGACAACGTGGTGTATGCATAGTTGTATCAGGAAGATAACATGAACAAGTTTTGCAAAGAAATACTACTACCTAAAGTATTAATCAGTCAGAAGCTCCGTAGTGTCAGCCGGTGGATGTAGAAGGTGCAGCAGTTGCATTAATCCCAAAACGCAGACTCCTTCCATTAACATCCTCTCAGCCTCGCTGTTTTTGGTACATGGAAGCAAAGGAAACAAGCAACAGACACAAAGCAGTCTTATACAAACGTTTTCCAAACCTTATAAATATTTAATTTTGATTATAAAGATATGGGACATTTCAATCACACCTACACAGTATACACTGCATTCCAAAATGCATATGTTCAAAGAAAAATACAAACAAATTAAGAATATTGGATTACAGTACTACACCCAGATTTTTGTTGTTTTATTTATAGCTTAAACATTAGAAATCAAATGAAAGGACCTTAAACAGCGTCATGGCACGGACGGTTACTCTCCCAAACAGCTGCGGCTTTGCGCACAAAAGGTTCAAATGCACAAACTGCCTCAACATCAGCTGTGTGAGAGTCTCAGAATACGCACAGCTACAGTGCAACTACAAGGACAAAAGGACCCTGCTTAGCTTGACATCTCACAGAAAGGAATTAACCTGCTACTTAGTGCAAACCTGAATAACCCCTTTGGAAAATGTGATTAGTATTCTACATGGTTTTATACCATATGCAGTACAATACATTTATAGCGTGTGTGGTGTGAAGGCTCGGTAAGTAAAACCAATTTGCCACTTGTTTCTGACGGGCCGTTATGACTGAAAACAGAATTATTTGTAAGAGTTTGGTTTGGAAGCTGTCCGCAAACAGTAAAAGGCCGTGTATGTGCACCTGCTAGAGCTGAACCTTTTCCAACATGCAGACCGAGTGGGTGTTTAGCATTCAGCAGCCACGCGGACAAACCGGCTCTGTGCTGCAGCTTTGCCTGAAATCACTCATCTTTAAAGGTTCTTTGTAAATCTTTTAAATACAAAATGCACATTTGTCTGTCAAGTATGTCTAGACTTCTCCTACTTCTAGGTTTAAGTAAAGGATTCCTTGAGCAATTCCACACAAAAATCCATTGTTGAATGGGTATATAGATATATACAAGATATCAAACATAATGCAGTAAATAAAATGTAAAAAAATCAGCCCATGTCACACAACAGTGATATTTCATAACATATTTTTAACATTTATTTTATGTTCCGGCCTTGTAAGAGTTCCACCCAAGAGGAAAATAGAAGCAGAGCTTCTACATGCTCTAACTTTGATGTATGGTTATTTCTAGGCCTCCAACACAAACCATAGCAGAGAAAGTGTGAAGAGGACTTCCCTTTTTTTCCCCTCGGGTTGGTCATAAAGGAGAAAGACAAACTTTCAAAACATGTAATTGCGTGGAGGTTGTTTTCCCATCGTGGCTGTGGATCCTTCCACAACCAAACCAGTATCTGCCATCATACCTTTACGCTTTCATTTCCAGCTCCTGTTCTTCAAACAAATACTGTACTCAAATCTGTCCTCCAAACAAGAGACATAGTCATTCTTATCCTGCATTCATCTCGTCTGTCCGTCTATCACTCAGCTTGATCCGGCTCGGCATCCATGCAGGTCTCCCATGGGTTCCTGGGCATCTGGGGCATGGAGAGGAGCAGGAGGGCGATGCCAGTGAGAAAGAGGAGGACGAAGGCGGTGCAGGCACAAGCGAAGGACCAGGCGTAGTGGTACTCGATCCAGATCGTGTCCTCGCTCTCGATCATGCGCTTGACCGACTGCCGCATCACTTCCAGTGAGATGAAGGCGCAGAGACCTGTGATGGAGAGGAGAGACGCGTGAACACGACAAAGCGATGTGACCGTGAAGGCAAAGCCGGGTTTCTGCCTTTCCAGAACGTTTGGTTGGTAGAGTGGACTCACCTGCAAATGCAAAAAACATGCCGGCAGGTTTGAGGAGGTAGTCTCTTCCTTTGCCTTTACCGGTACAGGATCCCACCAAGCACAGAGACCCCAGGATTATGAAGGCGAGGCTGAAGATGGAGATTGCTGCGGCTGAGATGTTGTACTCTAGAAAAGAGAGAGTGGATTTTGCCTTTTTGTCGAATTTGTTGACTTAAACAAATTCAATTTCACAAGATTATTGAAAGCAATAATGTTTCCTTCAAAGTACAAATACGCTATACGATTGAAATCTGTAGACAGATAAAGGGTGTCTGTGTAACAGGAACAGCAGCTGGCTTGTTATTCCGATCAGAGTTGCATGGCAGTGGAGGTCTTTGATCTGCAGCCTGTTTGCCTGTGAACCGGCCCGGGGGAGAGGGCCCCCTTTGGGGGGGGAGAGAGTCTTCATCTCCTGCAGGAAGGGGAGGGAGAACCGCACCCTGAACTCACAGCGTTCCCTGAGATGCTGCATGTATGTGAAGCTTCATCGGCCTGCTCAACACTGAAGTTTCTCAGAAGCCACAGCTGGAGAGAGATGAAAGGATACCTGTGTGTCAGCCACGCAGGGCTCCTTCCATCCCCCGGCTTGTGTACTTCATGCACAGGACCATTCACATTTGCACTCCAATCATTGAGTGTGACGCTGCTCCACATGTGCTGGACCCCCTATTGCATATTACATGGCTGCCAGGGCTGTCATACAACATGCGGGGGCTGGAAAATACCCGGGCCTGAACGCACTCCGTGTACAGTCAGATAGTATTTGCTTCCACCGTTCCTGAGGAGCCACGTGGGGAACTGTCAGCCTCGTGTCCGTAGGAATGTGACCATGCAAAACATAGTTGTGATACGTTGCGATATGCTTAGAGTAGAAAATGCTTTTCAGTATTAGAATTCACCAGTGGGATGTGAATGTGCAGTTTATTGATTCTGTAGCATCATAGCCACAGTATTGAGCAAATATTTGCAATCTAAACTATCAGCTAAACTGAATCTCTCCAGTATCATAAGAAATGACCCCATAATACTCAATTATATCAACATTATTCTTAAGACTTAGTGGGTGAACAAAATAAAGTTGAGTCTATACATATATACTCCTTAAGGCACACTGTATAAATAAATATCTACACATTCATATATCACATTAGTGCTACTGCATTGTATACACATGCTCAATTCTGGCATGAAGGTGTAAAGTTATGAAACGTGTGAACAAGAAAAATAGCATTTCACCCAAAACTTCAGTCCAATGAAGAGTTTTGTCATTGACAGCTGGACCAAATACACCTGCTGTGACACCAATAATTGCCCCGAGGTTCAGTAGTGAAAGCGAGTGGATCGGAGCAGAGCAGCAGCGGCCGAGGTCAGTTGGGAATACGCGATGAAGAGTTTGATCTTCATCTTCACACAGACTGGGAGGTCTTGATGTTCCAAGGACCGTATTGCAGAGGGAGTTCACAAATGAATCTCTATCCAAGTTTAGACAGGATGGCATTCAAGTAACCACGACGGGGTAACAGGGGTAACAGACACTTACCTTTTTGTGTTTTATATTCAAATATCTCGGTATCCAGGCCTGGAGTGAAGTGTCTGAAGTAAGTGCAGTTTTCCTCTGTGAAAAGAAAGAATACAGGATGTGGATCAAATTCACACCCACGTCGAGTGATTGTTTTGGCCTTTCGAGGCAGTACAACAAGGTGTAAACACAACCATAATATATAAATTATATTTATTATCACCACATAGAGCTCTTATGTTTTACACAGCAGACATTTCCAATTATTTGTGGCAAAGTAATATATGAGGACAGGGAGAGAAACTTGAAAATGTTTAAAATGCTAAAACAGTTAACTTACCCTCTGTGGTTCTATCCCCATGAACCTCTCACAATACAGGCTACATTACTTTTTAATGACTTAAACTCGCTAGATTTGATTGAACTGTTCTTTGATGCATTTTATTGAAGAAGTTGTACAAACATCCCAATCAATCTTTCCTGAGCAGACAAGCTGTTAAACGCTGGCAATTTGCAAGAATAAAGCCAGGTGGCCTATTTTGGTTAAAGACTGGTTTGGTGGATTAAACATTGTAAGATGTTTAGCCAAGTAATAAAAACAAGGAAGTTCCCTGTCAAATCCTACTTATCTCATCCCACATACTTCCTGTAGTGCTAAAAGTTGTTGACCAAGTGGATGGGAACATCCGAGGCTTAACGTCATGTAATGCGTGTTTCTGAGAGCTGAGGAAAAAAAATGTGGATTGGGATGCTCACATGTGCAGGAGGAGGGAGGACTGTTATGTGCAGTATTTTTCACTGGATGACTGTCACGTACTCTCATGCAAAGTCAAGTGCACATAATACCTCACTTCTGCTATGAGGTCTCCACTCGCACGAATGTTCCTAATCCCTCTTTACAGACAGCGCCGTCATAAGACATCGGTAAAATGATGGTATTGCATTATGGTTAAAGCTCGACGTGCTCTGTGAACCAGGAAAATAAGCTAAATGGAATGTAAGACCAAGAAAAAGCCAAGACAAATAAGAAAAAGGCAACAAGTCTTATTTTGCAAAGCTACGGCAACAATGTTGATGCAATGTTTACAAAAACCTCCACTGAAACAATACAGCAGACACATACAAAACATATTTTTTATGTATGAGTACAGGGACTGATCGTAAAAACAGAGGTTGTTACTAAGCAACAAGCCCCGTTTTTACCTCCGAAGGCACATTTAATAGTTGGTGTCATAGAGGCTCGTCAACCGTGTTTCTGAGCTAGATCCTCTCTTGACAAAAAAGAGGGTGAAAAATATCTTAGAACTTTACTAATTCCCCCAAAATGGTCATGTTTTTAAAGAAATGCAAATCCACTAGCCTCTATAATTCATCACCAGGCAATTATTTCAAAGGGAGGAAACATGGTCTCATCTGAATGTGAGATAAGATGTCTGTTAGGTCCAAAAGTGGAAGAGCGGCTATCAGGCCGAGTGTCTCTTTATTCACTAAATGTATGTACCGGTATGTATGTATGTATGTATGAATGAATGAATGAATGACATCATTCTTTAAGCCTCGGAGTGGATGCTTCAAGCTCCTTATCTGTATCGAGCAGCCTTATTCCCTTATGGATGTGGATGTGTGTTGCCGACTTAAACCTTTTTGTACCATATTTACAGAGCAAAGCTTCAATGAAAATATTAGGACCTGGCCGTAATGAACGTATCTGCTTGCAGCACACTACACAGACTGACACGCACTGTCGCACCACTTGTGGCTGATCGTTTTCCTTCAAGGCTCGGGTGACAGAGGCTGTAAAGCCATTTCTGTTCCTAGTATTATTATTCCTTCATCTTTCCAAAGATCAGTTGAGGACATTGGATTAGCAGCATTTATGACACAGATCGCACGTGGTCCATTCATTTAGTCAGCGGTGGAAGCGATCAATGTTCCAGACCTCTGATCCCTCGTGGTGGTTTTTGTCGGCTCTGTTTGGGTGGAGTTCCCTTTCACATTCTTAGGTCTATCAGAAGTGTTGACTACGTAAGTTATGTCCTTGGGTGAACATAAGTGTAAATACCTTTGGAAAATGTGTGTACTTTTCTATGTAGACTTTTGTGCTAAAAAGATACCGGCTCTGTTGATAACATCACACTCCGGTGAACTAGAGCCTTGATTCTTCTGTAAAGCCAGAGACTTAAGGGATACTTGTTGAAATAAGCTCTATATATATGAAGCCTATCCCTTGGTTGAGCGTCTGGAGTGAGCCGAAATACCAGTGGTACCACTTTCTTTTTTAACTATGAATCCCACACAGGCAAGTGCAAAGTAATATATATAGTATATATATAGTAACATGTGAAGCTGTGAGAGGGTCCTGGGGGCACAGTTTGGTGGGACAGCATGTGTTAAAGCTCTGCCTGACCCACCCATGCGGCCCTGTCACTCAGAAGGCTGCTGGACTCGGCGAGAACACTTTACCCTGGTGGCCTCCACCCAAGACAGCTGAGTATTTACGGGGCTTATATTTATAACCACGACTGCTTGTTCAGCAGCTAAAGAAAATCCCTTTTCTTTCTCTTACTCGAGTTATGGTCAAAAACATTATGATAACTGCTTGTCTCTGTATGCTGTGACAAAGAGGAGCATTGTAACGTATCGGGTGTTTCTTATCTGCAGCTTCGAACACCAAAACAAAGGGGAAAGTAGCGTCTGAAACTAAAATATCCTGTCTGGTATATTCTGTCTCAGATGAAACGTTTCTTTCAGCTGGAAGAACATACAGTGGGATGTAACTGCCTTATTCGTTTTTCAGGGATCCTCTCACCATCTGCGCTTTGTCATCAGTAGACCCGAACAACCACTCAGCCCATATTTTCCAGATGAGTGTCTCGCAGTGGGGACCTCCTCGCATACTGTCCTGCTTTGGATCAGAGGCTCACAACTCTCTGAAGACGCGTGTCTACGATAAACAATAATGTTCCTGTCCAAATACAGCTAGTGGGGCGGGAGAAAGCCCCGGAGACAGATGGATTTACTCACATCACACATATTGCCTGCGACATGAAAGCCATTTGGTTCGAAATAAGATAAAAAAAGACCACCACTGTCAGTGTGTGTGTTTCGGATAAAGGCAGCACCTGCACTTGTCTTTATGATCTGATACCTTCTCTACGTGTGGGGTTGAGCTCATTTAGTGTGTTAAGCGCATGCTTGCCATATCTGCCCCAATAAACCGCCCTCGGACATTTCATCTGCTTCTGGAACGGCCCCTCGGTGCAGACCGTGTCTGGGATTCCCAAAAGCCTAACAGCTGCAACCAGTTGGGACATATTTTTGGAGTTTCTCTCAGCCCTGTGAGTTGGACAAATTTGGGTGTAAGTCCCAAGCCAATTTAAATAAAGTGACATACAGAGTCAGCTGACAAGCAACAGTCAGATAGTGTTTTTCCAGACAACTCATTGAGACAAGAGTCAGCAACTGGTTGACACTGTTTACCACAGATACAAAGTATTATTGTCCACTGGCCCTTTTCAGAGTGGTGGACCATGAAATCAGTACTAAAATTGTCCTTATTTCATACTTAAATGTATAGCGGAGTAAGTAAGAGTAATGCACAATACTTCATCCTAAAGTGTAGTGGAGTAAAGCCATGAAGTAGTACACAATTGAAGGATCTATGTCATTTGAGACTATAAATAGAAAATGGCAACAGGATTCTGACTCGGCACTCAGTAATTAGTTTTATGAGGAGTGGGACCTGAGATCAAGTGTTACCAATGGCAATACTGGCTTAAGGTACAAGTACCTCAAAAGTGTATTTAGAGTGTGCATTGGGTGTGTCATTCAAGCTATTTCAATAACTTGTTTCCTGAAGATGTTACATAGAGTGTCTGTATATGTCAGGTACTGGCTTCCATGTTGTTGGAAACACTGGCATGCTGTTTTTAATTCATAAATATGTCTTAAGAGAGCAGAGAGCAGCCAATCAGTAACATCCACTAGGTGCCTCATTCTGTGCGACCTCTGGTAGATGTTTGATGTCATCAAGGTTCAGTCCTTAAGTCAGCTGACGGATGGGCTTTCAACATCACTGATGAATGACACAATAAAACATTTAATTGTTTTCCTCCAAATGTTTAGATAATATTAATACATTATGGAAGGTTGCATGCATTTCACTACGATCAGGAGATTTCTTTTAAAACGCATGTGCCATACCAAGTGATCCCACATTAGAACCTCTATTCTTAGAAGTTCAACCTCAGAGCTGTGGGCTGGATTTCATGGAGAGACCTCACAGTTACACGCAAACATTATCAATTTTAGTATTGTCATTTTATCTTTTTCTTACCTCCAGGCAGACTGATGGGTCCGCAGCCATGCCCCGGCACGTAGTTTTCCGAGCTTATGTAGATGTACTTCTTGCACAGCCTCCACAGGCCAAAGTGGGCCGCCTCACAGGTCTGATTGACCTGATCCACCCGCGGGCTGAGCACGGCCCAGTGGTCCGTCACCACCGCGGTGAACATGCACGCCATACCCACCAGCAGCACAAAGATGGCAATCTTTATCTTGGTGCGCTTGTGCATGTTTCCAGGTGGGGATGCTTCTGCTCAGTGAATCTTCTTCCCCTGATATGAAAACACACGGGTCTGTGTCCCAGGGGCTTCTGTCCTCAGCAAGCTTCCCACAAAGTCTCTTCTCCTTTTCTCTTGCCACCTAAGACCAGCGTCTCCTCCTCCCCCGTCGCTCTGTCCCAGATACAAGTTCCCTACTCACTGTGAGTTGCTGTACAAATGTGGGGCTGCAGGTTTAGACTTACAGCTGTTGAAGAAGATCAAGAAAGTTGATGACCAAACCAACTGCCAATGTGGGAAATGGGCGTAGACAATGTTGCACGTGTTGGTAGGTGTTAAACGGTGGGGGGGGGGGGGGTGACTTGTGAGTCGAGCTGTCAGGCTGTCTGTGTATCCAGTTGCCGTGCCAATGAGCGCGACAGAATAAGTGGACTCACATAAACGGTGTCTGTTGTCTATATGTGCAACTTTCCACATGGACGTTTTAGCATCGGCATTATTTTAAATGTGTTATGACAGGCTTCTATGAAACATCCCGTCCATTGGATGGCTCCCAAGATATTGCAATTAAAGTTGTTTCAGCAAAAGTATTTTTTTTAGGATTCAGTATTTTTGGGCCCACAGCGCAGGAGTAGTAAAAAAGTGTGGCGACGTCAACATTAACGTTGAGCGCGCACATTAATGTTTCACTGGCCGAGCTTGATTTTCTGTCGGCGCCCCACAAACCTATAAATGGCACAGAATGAAATACGATCAATTGTATCGCCTGAAGCAGTCAATTATGCTAACACAAGTATTTACAATCCTCAAAAGGTTGATCATTGATGACGGGAAGACGACTTTGTGTCATGTGATCCTGGAATACTTTGATTATTTCAGTTTCATACATTGTGTGGTTTGCTACTATGGTCACGTATCCTCTTTGGAGTCACTTGACCAGACCTGAAAGTCCATCACTGTCTGCCTTCCAGCTTTTCCAGTACTTATTTAATATGCTCAGTTTAGGAGGAGTTTTTTCCTTTTCTCCTTAGAGACCTTTTGCTGGGTTGAGAAAAGCGGTGTAAACTCCACCCAGTTGTGTGAGATATTAGGCAAATAAACTTGAGATGGACTAGTTACCATACTTACATCTTTTTGATATCATAAATCATAAGGGGTCAAACATTTGCCTGAGAAAAAAATCAAACAAATAAAATCAAACAGATGTTTACTTTAACTTTTATTTTATTTCAGAGTAATTTATCAGTAAAATCATACATTACAAACTCATGGATATATTTAAAGACACTTGGTATTCACAAACACAGCAGTACCATAAAGGGTATACTATTGATATATTTCACCAAACATACAAGTCCTCAAACGAAACAGAGAATGTAAGAATTGCAAGCAGACCATTGAAGGTAGAGGGAACTTTATGAACCACTTAAAAGGCACAGTGTGTAGAATCGGCTGGCTTCCAGTGCTGTGGTTACAGATTGTCATCGACTAAATCCCCCTCTGTTACTCCACCCGTAACATGAGCCGCCAAGTGCAAACCTCTGGTGCTGCTGTTTGTCTCACTCAGAGGCCGTGCTTCCTGTATTTACAGTACGGCACTGGGACTTTAGGTGGCTGGAGTCACGTTTGTCTGTTGCGGGATTCTGTGGAAACCTGACGGTGCAACGCTGCAGACTCGCAGTAGAGAACACGGATGCTATTCAGATATAAAGGATCTACAAAAACCCAATCATTTTAGGTGATTATACAACAATGGTTTGCCAAAATGCTACACACTGTGCCTTTAAAATAATTTAATAGAAATCTCTGTGCACCAATCTAACACAAAGGACTTTTATAAGTATGACTTTACATCCAAAATATCTTAAAGTAGCTTTTACTGTGTGTAATAGTTAAAATACTCGTGGCATTGGGTGTGTCAGGTTTATTATGAAGATACCTGATATCTTGCTAAAACATTTGTCACGCCAACAAATCAAGGTAGAAAGCCAGAACCTGAGTGCAATGGAGGTTGTGATCAGTATTGTATCACCCTCTCCAGCAAGGTACCAGTGCTAACAAGCACAACTAATCCCGGGAGTTTTGACCCTGGCGTTTTCCCGTAGATTACCGGAGGGGAAAGTTCACCGCGCAACACGAGTGAGTGAGGGTGCAGCTTTATTGAGGATGAAAATATCAGTGAGTATCAGTGACATTGAAATTCACAGCCGGCTCAACAGCCGGGTGATGGACAGAGGGGAGGGTGACGAAGCCTTTTGAGTTCAGGCCTGGAACGGGAAACAGGGTCATCAGACTAGTTTGGCCCAACATCGATAGGCTAGATCACATGAACGCAGAATAAGAAGAAGTCTATATTAAGTCAAGGCTCATCTGAAAACTACAGCCGACAGAGCAGCGACTCTGCAGACACTGCGCGCCCTCACATGGCACTGTTTGAACCCAGTCGAGCGGGAACTGAACAAGTAATGTAATTTCAACTTTTACAAACCCCTCGCTCACTTTTCTTCCTATCTTGTTCAAAGACAAGCTTTTTAAGGGCTAGGTTGACCATTTGGGAGCCTGTTAGTTCAATCTAGTATTAAATTGGCTGATGATGAGTTCCATGGCAGAGCATGAGGCCTGTGTCATACGCAAAATACTGGGACAAATTGTTCATATTTGGCATTAAACCACAAGCAGGTGTTAAAGTGAAGTTAACTGTGATTTCTAAGATTCTCCCCATAGCTTTTCAGGATAACTGTTCTTTCATTGTGAGGAAAAGATTTCCAATATTTGACTAAATGTCACAGGCTGAGGCTTGGGTTAGGATTTGTATCTTCCCACCATGGAAACAGAGCTGTCAGCCTGGGAGGATCAGCAGTGGATTGTTCACGACCTTTGACCAGCTGAAGGAAGCCAAACAGAAAATAAAAAACCCTTTTTTTACTGTATATAAATTGACAACATATTTTCCGAGACTTGCAATTCTAGAAGCCAATCGATCCAATAAAAGTCCTTCATGGAGCTCATACAACAACTCACAAAATGTTCCATATGGAATTCTCTCATCATTTTAAATGCCCCACTGTGCAACAGGTGAATGTTTTCATGCCATCTGGCTCTGACCAACGCTTTGGTCCTTCTGGTCAGAGGTCACTTTGAGGCTATTCCAGATACTAAGCGTCAGCATACCAAACCCTAACCCATGTCAATCTCAGTTAACCTCGCCACACATTATGTCCCACAACACTCTGAACTGTCCATGCTAGTAGAATAATCTGTGATCCTGTTGCTTAGTTGGTTAATAGAATAGTTTTTAACTCATTTTGTCAAGCGTTAACACTCACAGATTGACAGAAACCGTGAAGTACAACAATAAAACCATATGACAGAATGCAACTGTTGCTTTGAAAATGGATTTAATCTGTCCTCTTCCCCCTCACGTCTCCTTGTGTTGGTGTAATATGACATTCATTGTTCCATATTCCATATTATTATTGTGCCTTCTTGTTTACAGACTAAAAACTCAAATCTGTTTTAGAGCAAACCCATGAACCAATCATATGAATGGATTTGATTACATATGTAGCCTTCAATTGCCATAATACTGCAATTTCTCAAAATCTGTCTCGCAATAATAATTGAATGAATGTGTCAAAAATATGGGGCAGTAAGAGTTCAGAAATAATTAGAATAGGAGTTCTGCATTCTGATACAAAGGCAGTAGTCATGTAAACATCAACAGTACGGCGTGACCTCTGCTCTGTCTGCCTGGCAACCAAAGGTTACACATGCGTGTTCTCTTTCGCCACAAGCTCCAGATCTTTAATGGTAATAATCATTCTTTCGGCACGTCATCCCTGAGCAAACTGCACAATCTGTACAAATAAGGTTTACACTGATTGGTGGCACCGCATACTGAAATGTGCTGTCTGCGCCTGGTCATTTTAGTTTATGTGTATCTACAGAAATCTTAGTAAAAAGCCCAATACCAATCAATTGATGTTATGGAGGAACAAAGTTATTTTGTTGCCTAAACGTAACTTTTGTTTTTAACGTTATGTTGGCCAGAAAAAACTTTTGTTTTCGAAGACACAAGAAAATACAGACAATTTGTTAAAAAATACGGACTGAATGTGTTGTTGTATGTCATATTGTGTCTGAGCTGTAACACACTTTTCACATTTATTACCTGACTCACACACAAGCTTGTGTGAGCAGTTTTTGAGATAGAGCGGAAGTAATTAAATGGCAGTTGAAAAGGCTTAAGACTATCAAAGGTGTACAAATGAAGTTAGCACCAGTCATGTTACGTTTGCAAATACAATAAAACTCAAACAGCAACATGAATCACAGGCAGTTGTCCTTTAAAGAATGCCAGAACAAGAACGACAATTTGCAGTTTTTCCCTCAATAATAGTGGATATCACATTGTATAGTTAAATAGCTCACATTGTAAAATGTTATTCTTAATCCCACATTTCCTCGTAGATCTGCATTTTCCTTTCCAAGAAAGACCCAACAAAGGACTATTTGGAGCTCTGACCTTTCAGCACCAGAGAGGCGATATCTAACGTATGGTTTCACACAGCAATGTCCGCCCTGACCTCATACCGGTGTGGTCCTCCTGTTCACTGCGTCTTTCAGATCTTTCTCGAAGCAGTTGTGGACTTGTAAAAACCCAGAGTCCCTCTCTGGGCTGTACGGCCCTGCGCTTGCACTCGCGCACCTCAAAGGGTCCCCGGTAAGAGCGTACAGAGACATATCCCCCATCGGCAAACCCATCCTCAAGCCACCTGCCCCGCCCCCTCCGGCAATCCCCATCCCGGCCGGGGAGGGGTCGCGCGACGGGTCACTCGACCTCGAACTGGAGCGCGAGCGCCTCCGCCGGTAGCGGTAACTCGGGATGCGAGAGTACGGTGAGGAGGACGAGGTGGTTTTGACAAAGTCACGTCGGGCTCGGAAGTGCGTGTCTTTGTTTTTCTCGATGAATATGTTGACAGCGAGGACGCCCACTGATTCCGCCACGATGAAGGAGAGGGCGCCAAAGTAGAAGGACCAGCCGTAGTTGTAGTGGTTCTTCTTGTCCTCGTCTTTCTTGTCGCTGGGATCCCCGGCGTTGCTGGAGATGTAGACGATGATGCCGATGATGTTGCTCAGGCCTAAGTAGAAGAGGGGAGGTAAGACGAGATGGCGAGAGGTGAAGAGAAGAAACTATAACGTGCCGATGGACGATGCGCCCTAAAGGTTACGGCATCGTGTTCATGGAGAGAATGATTCAGTATCTGTTGACTGTCTACACCTGTGCTTTCATCACATGACGAAGTTCCTCATTCATAAACCTTTTCTGTAGATTTCCACCTTCCAACAACTTCTTCTTTTCAAAGAATTGATATGCAGGAATAGTTAAGGTACATTTATAAGAAGAACAACAAGACAAAGTCCTGTCTTCTCTTAGGTCCTTCTCCCTCCTTCCCCTTGTGCACAATATCTATGTGTTTGTTCATCTAAAGCGCGCTGTCAGTCTCGTGCTACCTGCAGCCACAAACAGGATGCCAGAGGTGAGAAGGATGTTGTTTTTGTTGTTGTAGACGCGTCCAACTCCGACACACAGGCCACCCAACATCAGCAGAACGGTGCTGAGAATCGGAAATAGGCTTGACGCTCGCACTACACCTGTTCATACGAGACAGAGAGACACTTTCTGTTGGCATGTCAAATGAAGATACACATACGAATATGAAGATGACTGGCATGTAATTCAATTACCATAACAATGGTACCAATGAGGTACGGTAAAAGCTCAGTAGAAGTACTAGTATTGCAATACTACTAGTATGGCGATATTTCTGTGGCCCTGGTGAAACTGACGCCAGAGGGAGGCAAGTGTGTTGAGAGTGAACCAGAACAGCAAAGTTGCCCCCCACCCCCAAAAAAGAGCTCAAAGATATTAACATGCTCTGCGGAGCTGAGGGGAATGAATAATTGTATGAAAAACACCACTCACATTTTACATAGTCATTTAATCCAGTCTTTTTCAACCAGTGTGCCGCGGCACGAGAGGCTGTCAGGTGTGCCGTGAAAAAAAAACATTTTTTACATACTGTCACTTCGTTGGTGAAAAAAAAAGAGCCAACTTGTGTGTGTGTGTGTGTGTGTGTGTGTGTGTCGTCGCGCTGTTGGTGGTATGAAGGCTCAATACTCCCCTCTGCCTGTGGGTGGCGCTAAGCAGCATAATTAATAGGCAGATTTGCTGAGGCGACAATTTAAAAAAGTGAGATTTAAGGCCGGCGCATGCTTCTGCGTTTGCATCTGCATCGTTGCGTCGACGCACTCGTTTCTATTCATGCTTCTAAAAGTCTTGCGTGTGTTGCAGAGCAATTCAACGCAAGGAGGTGTGAAAAGCGACGCAAGGGAAAACGCAGAAGCATAAACTAGGCTTAAGAGATACCTGGGCATAAAGCCTGTGCCATCTTGGCATTAGGTTTAATAAAACACAACAAATAGAACACAGTATATTATGCTCATGCTGAAACTATGTTTGGGATTGATTTTCATATCATTTCCGGTTGTTGGTGTGCCGTGAGATTTTTTCTGTGTCTTTAAGTGTGCCTTGATGCAAAAAAGGTTGAAAAACACTGCTTTAATCCATTGTTGGTACATAAATACTGATCAGGCTAGGTTGAATAATGTCGTATTAAAGGTTCCCTGAGGGTTTTGGGAGCTCTAATAGCACCAGGCAGCAGCTATTTTATGAGATAGTTCAGAAACACCTCGAGGGAAATACTTCGAAAGGAGAAACTGATTAGGTTTTAGTAGAAATCGTGTGGTGAAGGTCAATTTGTCCTGAAAGAAACATTAGTTCCAGCGGTGTCACTTTATTCCACCGATCAACAGGTGGTAAAAACCTACCAATAAATGTAACAATGTGCTAGAAAATATTGAAAAGGTTGCAGGCCAATAACCATGGATGTAAACTATGCAGGATCTAAAAGGTGAGATGAGTAATACTTAATGTAAACAGGACTTTTGAATGTTTGCTGGGAAAATCCACTGGACACCTTTAATTCAAATGTTCATATGAACAACTCTTCCACATAGATTAGAAAATATAGAATGTAGTTATTGTGTTTTTTTTTGGATGGCATAAACCCTCGAGGGGAACAAAGCGCATCAATTTATTTTACACAGCAGATATTTCATTATGATTCATGGCAATATTTGCATGCAAAGTGATGTTCCATTGCATTTCTGATGAGCTTAAGCTTTCCTACAAATAACACCAGAAGGCCCTCTGTTGTAGTAACGCTGCCATAAGTGTTTACATGGAAACACAGAGTGACAAAAGAGCGGAAAGCCATGCAACGGATGAATGTTTACATAGATGCTGCAGCCCGATAGGAAGACGTTCCGGCCTTTCTATGAATCCATGGGTGTGTTGAAATGAACCATTGCAGACATTTGCAAAAATGGAAACAGTTGCTTTGGGCTCAGGGCACCAAACTGGAAGCCAAATGTGATATGCAGAGTTAAGCTGATCCGAAATCTCAAACGTTTCACTCATCAGGACGCTCCATCATCTCTGAAGCTCCAGTCACTGTCATGACATCGAGCTTCTATGGGAGGAGACGCGTCATCACATATTAAATATCCACGCGACGCCTCCATCACCACTCCAAGAAAAGGGACGGAGGATTAACGGTTCAAGTGTTTGAAGATTGAGGAGGTTTCAATGACTTACGTAAGATGTACTCAGCGCTGTCTGTGTCGTAGTCGTTATCACCTGGAAAATGATTGATCCAAAAACAGCTTCCTTTGTTGATCCCTGTGGAGAAGCAAAAAGCATCCAGAGTGTGATTGGGACTGATGGAAGTAACAGCTTCTGCAGGGATGAAATCCTAACAGTTTAAGGGAAATACTGTGCCTCGTAACAGCGCACAACATGAGATTCTCCAATGAAGATAGATGGTCCAAAGGAAACTACATGATGACCATCCACGGAATCGGCGTGCAGTTGTTACGTTCTTAAGCCCTCGGGAACCCTGTATTCAAAGACCCAGTCGCTTCATCGAGAACATCTTCTCTCCGCTTTTAAGAGAATAAAACATTGGAGAAATGGTGGAAATTATTTGCGTCATGCTTTTGCCCCAATTGTTGAGCCATAAGGATGCTTGGATGAGCCATGTTGAACGGTGAATGTTTAAATGACTTCAATCCACCAAAACCTTTTCAATGTCACATTGGTCTACTAAATGTACCCGGTTAATGTCTGAAACAACAGCCCAGCCGATCTTCACCAACTCCATTCTGTCGCATCTTTAAACTCATCTCTAAACGTTCATCTTCATCCCTCTCTCATGTCTCAATGACCCTCCTCTATCGCAGCCGCGTTCCAAAATGTTTTCCACTTCATCTCTCTCGCAGCTTCCTTTTGATCCGTCATTTACAGCGCTTTCTTTTGACCGACACAGAAACGCAATCACTCAGTAATATAATCGTCATACTGGATGTGTATTTTATATCTATAAGAGCAGTGTTTTTCGGTGTAATTGTATGTGTTCTCCTGATTGTGGCTTACATACGTCTGGGGAAGAGCAGCGACAGGTGCAGGATAAAAAAAGGCTATTATGTAGAATTAATGATGAAGTTAAAATGTCAAAGTCAATGAATGTTATTGATAAAAAATAGACAGAAGGCAGGTGTGTTAATAGTCGGAGGGATGAGGGTGAGAAAAGGAGAGCGGAAGAGACCGAGCTCAGTAGGGGAGGTAACTCCCCAGAGGCCATCTGTCTGCTACAACGGAGCCCATCTTTTATTACTCAGCATAGCTTCACCATGGCAACCACTCCCTCCAACCCCCCCCATTTCCTCCCTTCCTCCCTTTGACATCAGACTAACACACACACATGCATACACAAACATGGATACCCCACAGAAACACACACAGCCAAGAAAAGCAGAAAGCAGCGCTCCTGACACATGAATCCAAAGTAATCACATTAGGAAAGAAAAGATGGTGGCGCGCAGCATATATAAAACACATCAAGTCTTCTAGTTCCTCAGCGTGTTCAGCGATCAGGGTTAAATGGCTTAAGTGAGAGTTCTTGTTATATTTCAGCATCAGCGACTTCAGAACAAGACGTCCCGTTGTTTCCTTTAAAAGCTCATTTGACACCATCGCTCGCCTTCAGTGAACCTCCTCCTTGTACAACAAGACACACCACTCATACAGACATCTGTTTGGCACGTAAGAGGGACACTCATGTCATCTCTTCTACAAGGTTAGCCGAGTGTTCCCGGGGCCTCCCCATTATTTATCCCGCTCGTTTGACCTAATTCAAACTGGTTCCATTTGATCTTGTTCTTTGTTCCGGGAAGAGATTTTCTAGAAAATGGTCAGCGAAATTTGTGGTGAATGAAGCCTCTGTCCCCTTAGACAGGGAAAAAATCAAACACAACCAGAAAATGTACAAAAGGAACATTTTGTCATTAACCTGGTAGAATATATAGAACCCAGGTTTTAAAGGTAACTATCTGAATGGATGTCATTAAACAGCCAATGTCCTGGAAATTCATTTGGCTCATCCAGCATTAGTGGCTACACATGTGTCATCACCAGAGGCCTGCTCAATGTGATTTTGATTTGGCAAGAGAAATAAGTCTGTAAAATTCATCCAGGAATGTGAGCTGGTTAGAATAAAAAGGTGGGAAATATGTTGATATGATGATGTTTAAGAACAGCAAACACCTTCTTCCATCAATTGTAAATCTCCAGGTGGAGTAGAACCATCGCGCAGACAAGGAGTGTGACAAATTGCTTGTGTGAGATTTCCAATGAAATTTTCATTTTTTATTTAACCAAGTAATTTATCTCGGTTGCCAGTTAAGAGAAGAAGAAGAACAAACATTCTGATTGGAGGTTTGAACCAGCAGCAGTGGAAAAGTGACTCATTAAGCTGGAGCTGAGGAGAGGAGTCTGAATAGATGTTCACGGATCAAATGATTGATAGTCATTGATCTGGCTTCTCTCCAAAAAGGAGTCGCGTCCAATGGTGCGCACACGTGACCAAACAACAACTAGTTGCTCAATCGGTATCTCCACCCTCAACTCGCAACGCTTGTCGGGTGTGCTGATTTGAAGCTGAGAAACTGTTGCCCCGACTTCGTGACTCAATTCCGTTTCACTTCACTTTCGGTCTTTAAGAAACTAGTTGGCTAGCAACCTTTTCAAGTAGATGAGACAATTAGGACAAATCCTTACATTGTTACTGGCAAGCGACATTTCTTGCAAAATGTCTGACTAAAAAAGAGTAAAAGACTAAAAAAACAGCAGACCTGATAATGACGACTTCTAACATAATGTGCGCGCAAAGGCACAGACGCCTTTGCGCGCAACAAGCAGCCCTTCCCCTCCCTATTTAACATCATGCACACGTAACTTTTTAAAGCTACTCAACAAATTGAACAATAGCTCAAAAACTAAATACTGGTAATGATGATTCACCTTTTGGCAGGTTTCATTTCATTAAAAGGTTTCCGGTTCTAACATTGTAACCCATTTTAATAGTTGTCTCCTCCCCGCTGTAAAACAAACACATCATTATTGGACAAAGCACGTCGCCAATCAGCACAACACAAAAGCAAGGCAATCTCATAGAATGACAGTTACTAAGTCATTAGACTATGTTTTACCTTCGATGCAGCAGATCCTCCACAGCCCGGAGTGCGTCAGGTCGCCTCTGACTTTTTTGGTTTGCATCTGGGAGTCGTCCGAGGTCGCATTGGTGGCGTTGCAGATGTGCGCACGGGAGTAAAGCCAGTAGTCGGTGCCAATGGCGATAGTCATGAGACTGAAGGCGGCGAAGGCGCCCACGATGGCCAGCAAAGTCTGAATCCGTCGGTCAGACCATGCCATGTCGTCTCATAACGCGGGGACCCTCCACAGCAGTTTACGCACTCGGCGAGGAGCGCGCGGTGCCGATAGACATGGCGAGAGGACGCGCTCGCGTCTCCCCGGCTCTCCTCTAATCAAGCAAAATGTCGATCGTTAACTGCTCGATTTAGAGCGTCTCTTTGTCCAAAACATCAGCTGGAGTTCAATCCAAGACGCCGAGTTAGACAGACGACGACACTTTTCATTTAATTCCTTTGCTCTGACTGTCAATACCTCCTCCTACAGCCAATTTAAGAAGAAGGAAACGCATTGCATTGTAGAAGTGCACTTTAATTTAAAGGACATTCACAATGCCCATTCAATCTCACACCACTAGGTCTCTTTACTTTTTAAATATTAAACTGCACGATTTAACAAAGGATGCAGGCTCGTTCATCCAGACCACACCTACCGGGATAAAACCCGGGCCAATGGGAAAGGGAGGCTTGTCGAAAAAACATCACACTTACACTAACATGCACGACACAGTTTGCCGTTCCCACTGATAACACATAATACAATAAAACTAATAACCCAGAGCATACGCACATTAACATGCAGCTCTAAAACAGGGAGCCAAGTGTTTTTCAAGACATCTAGAAATGAAGTAAAAGATAAAAACACCACTACTGACAGGAATCAGGAATCAGGAATCAGGAATCAGGAAACATTTATTGGCCAAAATATGTCAAACATACAAGGAATTTGTCTTGGCGGTTAGTGCGCGACAGTAGACAGACAAGACAACAGTGCACAGGTAATAATATAAGGTGGAATGAAATGCTAATGCAATAGGTTAGTAAGAATAAGGCTAAGGCTATGGGTTAGTAAAAAAACAAGGGAATAAAGTTAAACAAATTTTAAATATTAAAAAGTTAAAAAGAAAAGTATTAAGCATAAAGTGCACTAACAAACAAGTAACAGACAAGAGACAAAGTGACAAGTGACAAAGTGATGAATTGCAGTTAAAGTGGCATGTGCAGTGTGAGGGGGAGTGACCGGTGGAGTGTTATAGTCAGGCAGTGGGGGACCGGGCTCTGTTGATGAGCCCGACTGCCGACGGGAAGAAACTGTTCGTGTGGCGGGAGGTCGTAGTCCTGATGGACCTCAGCCTCCTGCCAGATGGAAGGGGCACAAACAGTTTATGTCCGGGGTGGGAGGGGTCGGCACGGGATCTTTTTAGCTCGCTTCAGAGACCTGAAGCGAA